GTTCCGCTCGCTGTTCTGTTTTGTACATTGAAGAGTTGGAAATGAGTAGTGAGTGCCTTGGGTCAATTCCCGTGATCGGCTCCTAGAAGAATACCCCCAAGATGTTGCGTGAAGAGCTGGCTCACATGTCCTGCATCTGAAAGTGGCATTGTGTGGCACAGTCTGCAGAAGTATACGAAAGATCAACGGGATCGGGACCAACGGCTGGCTGCGATTCCTGTGGAACATTTACGGGCACCTCGGAAAGTGGACGCTACCCGATTTATATGCTTATTGCATTTTGTGGAAAGTGACTACATTGAGTTCACAGGTGTCAAGAAGGAAATCCCAAGTCATTTAGTTCAACGACGTTTCGTCCACAACATTTTTTTTTGTGATAATTGCAAAAAAAAAAAAAAAAAGATATGTAAATGTCGCAAAATGTTTACAAAAAAAAAACCAACAGGAAAAAAAAAAAAAAAAAAAAGCCCAAACACGTTGTTGCGTGTGAAACGGGCATCTTTTTACTGCGCTACCGGGACACTTTTTTATTAGTAATAATGCAGCCAGTCAACTGTAAGTTGGAAAGTTCGGTACCAATTTTCCTCCAACAAAAGCACCCCCGGGTCGAAGTTGGGCAGCACCACGCATTCGCCACATTCGCACCTAGTAAAGAAATCGTACGCATGCATACTCAACTCGAAGTACGCACTTCGTGCTTGACGTTTGCGCGACCGATGTCTTCAGCCACGAGAAGGGGGCGATGGCTCGGCGACGTCTTCGTGTAAATCGGCTTGGTGGTCGAGCGTCTCGTACGGGATGAATACCGATTATTTTGATCGGTCCAAAATTTCTCTTTCGAAGAAAGACAGAATTGGCCGGTACCGCGAACGACAGTCCTGAAGTAGAGGTCCCACGCCCGTCGTCTGCTTCCATCGCCGTCCAACCCGCGAGACCCACAATACATGATAAGACGCCATGTGGCCGTTTTTCTCCTCCGCTACGGTATCCGTGAAGAAAACGCCGCAGCTGCGCATGCGCGCCGCCAGCCAGCCTTGTCTGCGTAGTTCAAGGTCTTGTGGCGAATTACGGAGCGCTATCCGGGTGCTTAGCGGGCTGCGGAAACGGTCTACTACAATTCCCCAATTACGCAGTGGACGTACAGAATGCTCCCGGTTCTCTGTGCAACTTTTTTTTTTTTTCAGTCAACGTATTTGCAGTTTTTTAGAAGCCACAAAAAACGGGTTTAATATTTTTTTCTATATTTCTATATTTTTTTCTATATTGAATGTGTGCCTGCAATGACCCACGACTTTGATTAAATTTGGTGGTTGTGTCTAAACCTTAAAAAACGGTCCGTGAACACGGAGAAGAGAGTGAGCGCGACTCAAAACGTCCAGTTCTCGATCGGTGGTTTTTGGGCGTAAAGAAACCGAATTTCGAGCCGGAAATTCTGTTCTGGGTAGTTGGGCTCTCGTATGTCACGTACAACTAAAAACCTCGGCGAGCATAAATACCCTGTCAGTGTCTTTTTAAAGGGACACAGACAGAGTATTGGGGGGGGGGGGGGGGGGGGGGGGGGGGGTGTCAGTGTCCCCTTAAAGGGACACTGACACCCCCCAGATATTTTTACAGTGGAGCTATTAAAGGGATGCTGAACCGAAATCTGGATTCCACAAAGCATGCAGCAGAAGCATGCAACGGGATGCTACAAACACCAAAACATCACTCACACAGTGATATCTCGAACGGATGACCATATTTTTCAAGAAAAGGTGGCGTATTTGACAGAAATGTTCACGTCATGTTTCTCCGAGAAGGAGGGGGAACGACCTCGCGTCTTCTCCGCCTCGCTGCCTTGAAGGAGCGGAGTGAAGAGAGGAGGAAACTAGGTATCTTGACGTCACGCGCCTCGTCGGCCTGGTTCAATCTCGACCTCTTTTTCCCAGAATATGGCCGTCCATTCGAGATATGGCCTTACGAGTAGTGTTGTAGGGATTGTAGCGTCTCGCCTACATCTCCTGCATTGTTTTTTCTGAAATCCAAATTTCGGTTCACCATCCCTTCAAAGGGCAACTCCGCTCAATTCCGAAAAATGTAACATGTGATTCCATTTCACAAAGCACTACTAAACAGCTCTACGTCTTCGGATTCGCGAAATGTGGAATATTATTTGTGTAATCCTAATTTAAACATCAGCTGATACCGAAACCGAAACTTCGGTTGCGTCAGGCAACATTGGTCGCGCATTGTCAGATTCATGGCCACGTCACGTCGAACCACGTGGTCTTGTGACGTTCGGGGGGGCGAGGGACAGGACACGCGACGCGGGCAGGTCACTTCGCATGGCGTGGACGGTGATGGCCCGGGGGAGAGGGGTAAGGGGAGAAGACGAAAGAGAAGGGGAGCGGAGAAACAGACCGATAAGCGCGCAGGGCAGCGAAAACTAGCGCATCCGCGTTACGGTGATCACGTGGACGCCGTTCAGCCAACACCGGGAGGAGAAAGTCATGACGTCATCGTTCAGTTTCGCTCTGAGAAGTAAAACCAAAACAATCGTGAGAATGACGTAGTGTCATGCCTCTGACGTAGTGGCCCAACGTTGGCCGCTCCAACCCCGTCGCATTGACTGCGCTGACGATTGCGCCTCACGTCGCAAGCTAGAGTTGGCAGATTTTGGCGACTTGGCTCACTTGAAGGTTTGCTGGCCAGTTTATTAAATACATAGACGGGATTAGATCGTAATATTTGACATGGGGTCTTCCTATATGATACTGAAGAGGGCTGCATAGTTTTCTAAATATCAAAAATGAAGCGGAGTTGCCCTTTAAGGGCTAGTTTCCCCAGGATCGTGTCCGGTACCAAACAAATGTCGACACCTGCAGTGATGTGATTGCTGCGCCAATTGCGCCAAACTGCACCAAGGGGCTAACCCTGCTACATCTTGCTACATTTTGCCAAATATGAGTAATCCGCCAGGCCTGCGCCAAACAACCAATTTTGGTCGCCTTTCAAAGCCGAAACTAAACTGAGTGCCGTAAATGAGCTCACGTGAGCTAGGTGGCGCAAGCGGCCACTTGACACAAAGTGCCCTGCATCAAAAGTTCATCCGGTCTTGCATCGTTTTTCCCGCCGTCTCTCGTTTCGCGCTCTCATTGTCTCGCACCTTTTTTGAAAATTTTCAGCGATAGACGTGTTCGTGTGCCGACGCTCCGACGCTAGCGTGCCGGGTACCAGCCATGCCGTCATGCTTTGAAACGAAATTATGTTTTTGTGCGGCGGGAGTTACTTTGTGAGCTAAAGCACTCGCTCCTGAAAGCAACAGCCGTGGGAAAACTATATTTGGTCCCTGCCTGCCAGTCACCGTGGTCGCGCGACGTCGGGTGTTGCCGTCCCCACGTCGCTGCAGATATGGCGCTTTCTAAAATGAAACTAAGTACCACCACAAGTTCATCAACATTCCTGTTCTTGTTTAAATCACGCGTTACTACAAAAATCTACCTTTAACTCAAAGACTGATGGTCGAAGTATTGATTGCCTACGTTTCTCTCGGTGAACCTTCTTTCGGGATGGACCCCGGTTTGTGAAAAATCTGCTGCAAAAGAAAGTTGGTGAAGAGAAATGAGCTAAAGCAAAGAAGGCAATGTCTGCACTCTGAACCCGCACAGTGCACATGTTTGCCTTGAGTTCAGAAGAACGTTTTGATCCTGGCTTGCGATGTCTTGCATCGATGTGCTCAAGTTCTTTTTTTTTCTCTCTCTCTCTGTGTTTAGCTTGTACCTCGCGTGATGGCCGGGCAAGCGCTGGACTGTTTTTTTTTTTTTGTCGTATGCTGGACAGTTACATTTTGCAAACAATTTCGGGAACCAGTTGGCGACGGAGCAGAGTGGCATGGTTTCGATCGAACAGCCATCTCCGCTCGCGCGACAGTTTTACATTGCATTGCAGTAGGTACGGGTTTAATCAGTTGGAGACTTCTTCCATTTATTATAAAACTAGTCTACCTAAAACTGCTATTTACTACTAAGCTGGTCATTTTCAAATAAATTTTAATAAGTGCAGTTTGGTTCTTATTTAACTATAGTGGGCACATATATATGTATAACTTAACTGAAGCATTGTAAAATGTGTCATGTCATAGGCATTTCAGTTACATGTTGAAAGACTCCCAGGTGGTCAAACTTGACTGTAATTTGTTTATTGCGGCAAGCAAAGTGTCCTTCGTGTGTCCAACACTTAAAACAGTTAAGAATATCTGCTCCAAAAGTCACTTTTGCTGCTCCGAAACACTGTTTTAGCTGCTCCAAAAGCCACTTTTGCTGCTCCGAAACACTGTTTTGGCTGCTCTAAAGGCCACTTTTGCTGCTCCAAAACACTGTTTTGGCTGCTCCAAAGGCCACTTATGCTGCTCCAAAACACTGTTTTGGCTGCTCCAAAGGCCACTTATGCTGCTCCAAAACACTGTTTTGGCTGCTCCGAAAGGTGCTCCAAAACGGCTTAGGCCAATCACATCACTGCACCTGTGGTCAACACAACACTCTGGTTGCCGCCGTCACTCATAGATGGCGGTAGCTGTCCAGACTCCAGAGTGTTTTGTTTGTCGGCTGTCTGCTTGCCACCGTCGCTCATGGATCGCGGCAACCTTCCTTCGGAGGAAGAAGAATAGGAGCGGAATGAGCGGCAATGTGCACAACAGCGCGAATAGTTCCGCAACCGCTGCGAGGCCGCTATCACCTAAAGTTCCACTGCGTCGAGCGCTTCAGATTCCCTTGCAAAAGAAAAGCAGATTGCTTGCCTGGAACACGGCGGTGGCGCCATGTTTCTCCTGGAAAGGTCTATCCCAGCGCCAACCGTCCAGGATGGCAACGTCGGACAACACGACTCACCGGCTTCTGTGGTGTCATTCGTTGCCGCTTCGGAACCACTTTTTATGCATGGGGGGGTTGAGACAGTAAAGAGTTTGTTCGAAGATGCAAACCATGCACTGTAGCGCGAGTGCAGCACGTGTCCCCACGGCGCAGGCGGGGAGTGCGAGTTTCCGGCCGAGTGGCGCGGCGACTGGTTCCAGAAGGGCGAGCCGGAGCCGATCCGGATCGGCCGCACCAACATCTCCACCAAGGGCATCTGCAAGGAGGCCCACGACAAGAAGTTCCTCGTCGAAGTCCCGTGAGTGCGCTCGAAGGGCACAACTCTTCCTTGCTTGCTTCCTTGCTTCTCCACATTTGGGGGTGGGACGGCTGCATTGATGGCACCATTTTGATATGTTCACAATTTCCTGCATCTAACAGCGCCCAAAGCGTGAAATGGCCAAAATTGCAGTGTGCTGTGCCATAGATCACAGTGACTAGCTTTAGCAGAAAATGAAAGCTCGGTTTTCAACTCTGGCTGTTTCATTGCCAGGTGGCGCAAGCCGCCGCCCAATTCCTTGGTTCTGCTGTATATGCACATTCATCCAATGGATGCAATTTATACATCCATACAGTCCTAACCATCATACTGTTGCATCATTTGTTGTGCATGCTAGGGTGCATGATGCACCGATAGCATGCAGCATTAATGGTCCCCGAGTCATGCGCCTTCATTTTCAGTTGAAATTTGTACCTAAAATGATATATCTTTCCATGTGAATTTTAGATGTTTCACAGTAAATCTTTATTCTACACTTTCCAACACTTATACTACGTACAAACCTAGTTTGAATTGTAACTCATTGTACAACTGGCTAAAGTGATTTCTTAAAATGATGTCACAGTTACTCCAAAGGTGCCCCAAAATACAGATTTTTCTTTCTTAGTGCTCCAAAGATTAACCTTTAAATTAATCAATTAATGCTTTAATTGGAATAATTTTTTTTATCCGGTTAATCGGTTGAGATTTTAGTTAAAAAGTGAAAGCCGTTTACAAATCCCTGTAACGCCGAATTGGAGCGCAGCTCTTGAGGAGGAGGAGTGAAGGGTACTGAGGGGAGGGTAGACCCCTCCCCCTTCTCCTCCTCCTCCCCTCATTCTTTAATATGCTCCGGGGGGGGGGGGGTGTCACGTGACTTCGGGGAGGGGGTCACGTGACCTCGGGGAGGCGTGACCTGGGGGTGACCTCAAGGCCACGTGACCCCAAAGGTGACCCCCACGTGACCTTGGGGTCACGTGACCTGGAGGGGTCACGTGACCTTGGGGGTCACGTGACCTCAGAGGGGTCACGTGACCTGGGGGTCACGTGGGGTCACGTGACGTTGAGATGACCTTGGAAGGGGTCACGTGACCTTGGGGGTCACGTGACCTCGGGGGTCACGTGACCTTGGGGAGGCGACCACGTGACCTCGGGGGTCACGTGACCTCAGAGGGGTCACGTGACTTGGGGGTCACGTGACCTTCAAAGGGTCACGTGGGGTCATCTTGGGGTCACGTGACCTTGAGATGACCTTGGAAGGGGTCACGTGACCTCGAGGGGTCACGTGACCTTCAGGGGGTCACGTGGGGTCACGTGACCTTGAGATGACCTTGGGAGGGGTCACGTGACCTTGGGGGTCACGTGACCTTGGGATGACCTTGGTTACGCCGACGGCGACGGCGACGGCGACGCCGACGGCGACGCCGCTCAAGCCGGGAACGGGCCCCTAAGAGCTGCGCTCTAAAATTTCAGGCAGAAGGTGAAAAATGGTTGCTTTACTCCTTGGTGCACATTTATGTATTTTAGGGGACAGCACTGTTGTATTCCACTGTGAACACTTCAGCGTTCTTTCTGATTGTAATCCAGAGTGAATATCAGATATAACATATGTCAAAAATATAATATTAAAAAGGCTTGCCCATGTTTTCTTTTTGTGATCTGTACATTGTCAATTTTTATATGAAGCAGAATGTTCTGTCATGGATGACAGTAAAAAATAGTAAAAAAAAAAAAAACTGCATCACTTAAATGAACTGTTGATTGTTTTCTTTTTTGTTTGAGCGTTGCAAACCATATATTCTTTGGTGTTTATTTGTTCTAAAGAGTTTTCCACTGTTATTTTGTTTGTTTCCTGAACACTCCCCTCTGTATTTCATTTTTATTTCACCCTTGCCCCCAAGGGTGAAATAAATAAATAAATAAATAGTAGCCACTGGCAAAGTGAAAAAGGCAGGGAGGAGGTCCAGTTGTCCCACCTTTAGCGCCGACAACATTTTGCCATCTCGTGCACCTCAAGTGTGCACTATAAGCCAAAACGAGGCGGTGGAGCGCATGCTGGAGGCTGTGCATTCGAAAGACATGCTGTGCCATTCTCATTTTGTCCATGACCATAGTAAACATACAAAATTAAAAAAGATTGTCGGAGAATGCTCGCGTACGGGCTCGTGAGGAGCGCAGTTTTATATACAGTTTACGCATGCACCACACGCAAAGGAAGTTAACTGGAAAATCCCTAAATTCAACAGGAAAAGATCACTTGGGAGAACGGTGAGGTCAGTGATCAACAAAAACGGGGTACCGACATGATTTTCTGACTTCCTGTCGAGTTTCACGGTGCTAAGGGTTGGTAGGTCAGCAGATATAGGGCATTTAATCGGTTACGTTAAGCCAGTTAGTGAGGGTAGCAGGTAAAATGTAATCGGTGAAGAGCGTCGGGGAGGGGCAATGGGTTGTGGTCGTAGCGAAAGTTATACTAAACCCTGTAGTTGAATAACGACAGAAAGCGGGTCAGTGGAGCCCGTGCGGTGCCGTTCTTACCAACTTTTGGAACTTCAAAGCAGTCCAATGGATTTGCTCGTACTCGGAGGCTGTTCGCAGGTAAAGGTAAATGGTAATAGAGGTAACTGTTTTTTTCCACTTTCTAGAAAGAATATTGCAAACCCGACAAGGTTCAAGTTTCTCTAACTTTACTGCAAACTTCAAACAAAGTTTGAGTCAAATAGAACGATTATGTGCATGTGTGCAAATTAAAAGCAGGTGGAGGAATGCAGTGTTTACGGCAACTAGTAAATCATAAAAAGTTTGGGATTGCTTTCATAATGCATAAACATTGCCAATTTTTTTTTTTTTTTATATTGAAGGCAAATTGTTATAAAAATTATTTCTTTCTAAATTTTAGATTTTTTTATAGTAGTCGGGCAACTCTTGTTAAAAAAGTCGAAGTTATAACAAAATTCAAACAAAGTAAAAAAAAAAAGAGATGACAAAATGTTAGGCTAGGTGGTGCAAGCTGCCGCCCGTTACAAAGAGTACAGCCATCACTATCCATCCATCCATCCATCCATCCTGGTCCAATTCCGCCAAAAGGCAAAAGGTTTGGAGAACCAGCCGAACTGTAAGGTTCGACAAAAGTTTACGACATCCATACTCTCTGTACACGGTTTCTCCATAAAGTCTGACCACCTCCGTCCCTACAATCTGACAGATCCTATCATCCGGCACCAAAAGCATGTCATCGTGGCACCTGTCGTCTTTCTGGCTCTGCCATCGGCGGCCCAACCAGTCGTGCACAGGTTAAAAGCACAGGATTGTGGCTCATTCACTGTGTGCGATTGGGTTAGTTGGTGATGCCAAATGGACAAAGACGACAGGTGTCGTGACGACGCACTTTTGGCGCCGCATAATTGCCTCCGTTGGATTGTAGAGTTGGCTGCAATCAGACTTGAAGTAAAACGGAGCGTGGTGCTCAGTGTTGCATTCCGCCTGTCTGTGTGCATTGCAGGAGCACCAACTGCCTGAAGTGCATCGGGATAGGTGCCAAACACGACAACGTGCTGCAGTACAAAGAGAGTGAGTGGACCCCCCCCTTTGCGCCGACATTCACTTCGCCACGGGTGGGCGGTTGGGGACGGAGCGTCGAAGACGGGGCCATCAATCGTCGACGTTTCTCATACTGACGCTCGAAGGTCCCGTAGGACTGCCAAGACGGGCTGGAGGACGGGGGCTTTATTCTAGCTTCAATAAGGTTGGGAGCAGTCAGAGCACCGAAGCAAATCACGACTAGGCTGTAGATTTCCCGTTGTTTATTAAAAAGGAAGTAAACTGACGTTTTTCGGTGTTTTTTTTTTTTGAAAATTTGGTGTATTTCGGCATTTCCTTAAGTACGCACGTTAGAAATGGTGACTGCCGGTAAGAAAAAAAAAACGGTGGACAAAAAAGGTTAAATTTAATTTGCAACTTTTGTATACGCTCCTAACACTTCACACCTATTATAGAGCGTCCGTACTTGCAAACCACGGATATCGGGCCCGAACATGGACCTAGGTCGGAGTACTCTTTAACGCAATCATTCAAAACCTTGCTTCTTTTTTTTTTTTTTGTATCCTGCTATTTTGTTGCTTTGTGTGATCACAAAAATTTAATTGTTGCCGAGCAAAATGTCCTTGTAACGAGGAAAGGCAAGTTGCTCTTGCTTCTTTCTCAGGATTCGACTGATGATGACTGTGAGCGTAGTTTCAAACACTGTCGCTTATCTTACCCTAATAGAACTACCGTAATATCCCGAGAGATAGCCCACCTAAAATCAAGAGCAAATCAGGCAAAAATAAGGAGTGGGCTAACTTTCAATGCAAACACAAGTTGAAAAAAAAAATCCTCTTTTTAGGTTCTTGCCAAACTTGTTATCGTCCGAGGGGCTATTAGGCAAAGATGTAACACAACACTGAGACTGCGTGAAGCAAAAGACGACATACATACGCAAATAAGAGGGAATTGGCTTGCGTGTGTCATTTTTGCTTCCTGCAATCTCGGGGTTGCGTTATGTCTAGTAATATCCGTCGGCTCGTTGGCACCCGAGTGTCGGTTGAGCAAAGACGACTGTACTTCCCAGTCAGCAATGTTTGCTTATATCCCGCAGATAGCTAAGTAGCCACATTTACTCCAAGGTTATCGCTGATCCCAACACTGCAGGTACTATAGTCGGTGACAGGATAAGGTAAGAGTTGAGGGAAAACCCCTCTCACCTCTTCTCCCTTCAGCAGAGCGAACGCCGACGAGAAGGTCATCTCATCTCCAGCATTCGCTCTGAGAAAGTGAAAAGAGATGGGAGGAGTCTCCCCAAACTTTTAACATGTCACCGACTATAGGAGTGGGCTATATTTCGGTATTTAAAAAGAAAATGGCCAATCGAGTTGAAAATGGGGGCGGGGCATCTCTTGGGCAGTTACGTCAGAGAGTCCGTGGTGTTTGACTAACTAACCTAACTCTCACGCCACTCTCCTCCAAAGTTTGTGATTCCACCGATGCGGGACTGGCATGGTGCTCAATTAATTTCTAGCGAAGATTGTGTGCCCGACCAACGTCTAAAAAGACAGGGGTTCGGCAAATACAGTCCTTGCCTAGAGCAGAAATTTCAAGAAATCTTTTTCCGTTTTGACAGATTTCATATTTTTGACACCAACAAATGTTTATTGCTGTTTTTCTTTTGTAACCAGAAAGCCTGCGGCCTTATCATAACCAACAATCCTGGCTGATTTTGCTTCGGAAATTAAACAGCAACTATTGGAAAGAAAGCGCACGAGGCCCTTCTTGGCAACATTATACTTACAAATATCTTGCATTGCTTTGCGAGCTGTTTCATGTGTTGCTTAAAGGGCAACTCCACTCCATTTTTACAATTTTTGGGTTATGATCTGTTTAGTCGAAGCCAACGGCCCTGAATCACGAGATATAATTTGTTTTTCGGTAGTGTGTATAGTTTTGTAGATATCGCGAATCCAAGTATTGTTCCCGCGACACGGCGAAACCGAAACTACCGGTTGAAGCAGCTTGGCAACAGTGGTACTAGTGGCGCGTCGTCGGCATGACCTAGTTCTGGTCCCGCGCTTCTCAGCCGTCGCGCCGACAAGGTCGGCTCAATCGCACGTGGAGTTTCAAAACAGAAGGTTAGATGCACATTTTCTATTTTTACCGCTTCACTTTGTTATTATGCACCAAATGTAGTAAGTTTTAGTGTGTATTTATACATTTGCCGGCCGAAAAGCGAATCCGACTGCTATAAATATGACGCGGTCGGTGCCGGCGCAGCATGACTGTATTTGTTTTTTGCTCGCGGACCGAGAGAAAACGAAATAACGGGAGATAGACGGACAGATCTATCCACAAGTGGTCTAAGTTGCTAAGCTAAGGTGCCTTTATGTGCACGCTAGTTAGATCAGCCGCGACCTGCTGCGTCCGGCCGATCGTGCTGGAGCAGCCGGCGGACGGTACGCGAACAGCGACGGCACCGCATCGTTCTTCAAAGACGCATGTTTCGTGGAGAAACCCGCAACAGTCAGCAGCCGCAGATCCTGTGTGTAGGTGTCTGACGTAAAGTGCTGGGAGCAGAGCTTGCTTGGAGCAGAGCTTCGCGTTGGAGCTCAGAGTCAACGGTCTTCCGAAGTCTATCCGGCGAACGGCACCGACCCACACCTTGTGCCTCTTACGGTCTCTTGGGAACTGGTGGAACCGCAGCTCCGGGTTGCGCACCGGGTTTTTGGTGCAACCCAGGCCACTACAAATCCTGCTCGACATTGCCCAACGCGAGTACGGCGAGTCTCTCCGGCTCCACGACGCGCGCGTGAGCGAGCGGCACCGCTTCGCTCTCTTCCGCGCTGTCGCGGAAGCAATGCTGGAGTTAAAGGAACTGCCTGGAGGCTAATAAAAATAGGGAAACACAAAATAATGTGGTAAACACCTCGTGCCGTCAGCAGAATCGCAGAATGCCACGGGAAACGAAGCGCTCGCGGCGTCCGTACGAGAGCGTAGGACTAGAACTACGTCATTGCCCAGTGTTGTTTCACTAGCTCACCCGGTGCCAGCGTTGCTCACCCGCTTTCGGGCCGCTAACCGAGCCGGGAGAACATTTTAAATATTGGTTTTAATCGATAACGCGGCGTCGGTTTGACGTAATATTTTTGGTATGACCGTATTTTGACCTAAAGCGATATCAGTCATTTCGATAGGGTCGACTTTTTGAGTGGAGTTGCCCTTTAACCGATATCCTGCATTAAATTTATACCATTTGGTTCCAGAAATTGTTTTGTGCCTGCCCCTTCCTGAAATCAAAAACCGATTGTTCCTTGAAAATAAGCCTTAGCAAAACAAAATTGGCTGCCTTTCTGAGGCTTTTCTGGGAGATTTGTTCCTTGAGTTGCATGCTTGTTCGTTTAATCATGTCGATTAGAGGTATGTCCTTCTTTCGATAAAAATAGAACAAATGAGACTTTCTCAAAAAGGAGAAATAGCACGTGAAAGAAATAAGCCAAACGTTTCCAGGTGGTCCAAATTAATCCGCAGTCCTCCGCCAGGGTGTGCCAGACGCCCTTTGTAGGTTTGGCACGTAAGGCGCCCAAATTCTAACGTGTACTACTTCTACTAGTCCTTTTCTCCTTCACCGTTGTTCTTCCCTTATGTGTAACCAATTAGCCTGCTAGTTGACTTGAATCACTTTACGTTTGACGCGAGAGTTACAGCAGAGAGCAACGCCGGTCTCCTTCCCCTGCAGCGCCCTTCTGCTCGGCGCACCGCACCCACGAGGCGGTGTGCCGGGAGTTCACGGGGGACGCCCTACTCTACTCTTTGTTCCGGCTGGGGGGCTCTCCCGTGCCCTGCCCCTTCAGGGGGCCCCTCTCCTTCGAGTACAGCCAGGGCCACGGTCAGTGCAGCCAGCCGGCCTCCAGCGTGGAGGCCTGCACAGACCCCGCTAGACTGCTGCTCCGCTTCCAGGCTTGCGCCGACGTCCAGGGCTCCGAGAGCAGGGGTAAGCGCCCAGTATGCCTCTCTTCAGGGTGCTATACTCCTTCAGTTGTATTTCCGGCCGGCATGTGGCACTGCAAGATCCCCTGGTGGCCTAGTCTGGTGTGACCCAGGGTTGGGAAGTACTTTAAGCACGTTGTACTTGAAGTACCACTTCAAGTAGGTTTTGAAGACTTGTACTCTACTTGAAGTACAACGAGTTCCCGAGAAAACTGAACCGTGTGTTTCGGCTCTGGTAAATAAACTGTGCATCGCTGGAAGCTCAAACTCCATGAGAATGGGATGCTAGTGGTTGTAATATGACGTGAAATTTTGAGAACATGACGTTACTTGAATAAACAAATAATTAAAAAAAAAGAATTAAAATTCTCTATATGCTGATGTTCGTCTAAGCTTAATATTGTCAAACCAAGAACCAACATTGTGGAGACTTGTGAGATTGATATAATTAAAAAAATCTTGTCAGCAAGAAAGAGAATCTTGTTTTGTTTCTTGCTGACGAGCTTTTTTCACTGAAATAGATGCTGCAGGTGTCCATATGGTTATTTCTTTTGATCATATTACGCTTGGGCAATGTTGGCTCATAGAGACGTTTCGTTTTTTAAATTTATCTCTTGATTCAGGCAACGTCATGTTTTTAAACTTTCGCATTCTATCCCAACCGCTAGCACCACATTCTCACGAAGTTTGTATTTGCTGCGATGCATAGTTCATTTACCCGGGTCAAAAAAACATGGTTCTCCTTTCTCGGGAACTCCCTGTACATTCTCGGGGTATGTACTTGTACTTTGCCTAAAGTATTTTTTCTGGCGCTTTCCAAGTAAAGTGCAACTTCCGGCTTCAAAGTACATTCCCCAAATTTGGTCTCCTTAAGTTTGTATCACAAAATGATGCTTTGTCAACTGAAAAAATACTGGGAGGTGCATTTCATGGGGGCATCTTCCCCACAGCCATTTCAAACTCACACTACTTCTCTTTCAGTCAGTGCAAGCGAGGAGGTTAAATATATTAGGAGAGCACACCCCACCCCGAGAGGATTGCTTGTGGAAGCTGTGGGGCTGACGTCATCCTTTCTCCTGTTTAACCCCCTTGGGTGCAAGCCAGTGCGAGGGACGCCGAATTCAGTGTTGGAAGGACTTCTGAAATTGGCGCCATTTCCAAAATAACTACTCTGGCTATTAGACTTTACCAATATCTGCAGCCATTTCCAAAAATAACTTATGCAACTCAATGACCCCCCCGGGGGCATTGCATGCATTAAAGGGGCACTGGCACCCCAAAGGTTGTATTTATTTTTATTGTCTAAAACGATGCAAGTTGTAGTCATAGACACGCAAAAAAAAAACCGCATCGCGAAAAAAAATTTTCTTGCGCGCGCGCGCGCCTTTTAATTTTTGGCGTTTGATTTTCCCGCCTCTCGCCTCCTCGCTTCTTTTGATCGGTGACGTCAAAAATCAGGAAATTTAGAAGCTTTGTAGGCGACATCTCTATAACATTTAATTACGGCAATCCTAAAACATGTTTTTTAACGCAATTGCGAACGCACTACGGCCCTTCTTTTTGAAATACCAAAAATCGGGAGTTCGTTGTGGTGCCGTCTCCTGGATTTGTATCCTCCAACGGAAAACAGGCGACACTGCTCAAAACCGGTCTGCCGCAACCCCGCCGCTCACTCCCTTCCTCCTCGCTTTGGGTCGCCATGGCAACAGAGGGGAGTGGTGAAAGGAAGTCGACTCTCAGGTCTCCTCAATTTTTGACGTCAAGGCACCGGCGCCGATCGCGCGGGAACTTCGAATTCGGCATTTGGAAATTGTTTTTTTACTTCACGAATACTGAATTCCCAAATCTCAAATTTTGAGGGTAATGTCCCGGCATCGTTTTCAATCGTTTCGGATAATAAAAAAAAATATGATTTTGATGTGTCAGTGCCCCTTTAAGAAAAAAAACTGTACATGGGAAGTAAAATGCATCATGAAACATTGTGTTAACAAGTACTTGTACTTTACCTTGAAAGGACATTGTATTTGTGCCGTAAAATATCGGGGGAGCGTCCACCCCAATTTCACTGAAACTGGGTTAACCTAGACATGGCCGCTTGTCCGGTTAAATCGGTCGCTTAACGTATAATCTGCAGAATTCCCAAGTTTGGGAAGTGTTTAGGGTGGGCACTTCCGCAGTATATTATGGTAGTACCTTCCTTCAAGTATATTGCACCCGGTGTACTTACGACTTTACTTGAAGTAAATATCCTCTGATCTACTTCATACTTCAAGTACTTTTTAGACGTGCTTTACCAAACACTAACGTGACCATAGAATGGCGGCGCTATATACTAAATGAGGGCCCACACAAGGCTCTTCAGTTGGTGTTTTCGAACGTAACAAGCCAGGTCACATCTCCATTCCTCGCCACTGCCGAATGTTGGCCGCTCTGAGCCATGTTTAACTCACTCTTAACAGGGGGTTGACATCTCAAACTGAGAGCAGGTTTTGGAATCGCTCCCAACTTAAAATGAGTCTCCCAGTTGTAAATATTGTGATTAAAAAAGGGTTCTGTTTTGGGGGAGGTGGTTTATTTTGTGAATTATGTGGCCTCTCCAGGCATTTATAAAATATTTCTTGGAAATTCAGTGCCCCTTTAAAGGGCCACTGAAAAAAAAAAAAATCTTTTTAAACTGTTTGGTTGGGACACGCGTGTCAAAAAATTAATTTTACGCGAAAAACAATATTTTTAGAGCAATACTGGTGGTGTGAAATTTATTCTAAATGAAAAAAAAAAAAACTTTTTTAATTTTTTTTTTTTGCTTAATTTTTATTTTTTAACGCGTGTCCCAGCCAGATTGTTTAAAAAATAACATTCTTTTTCTTTTCAGTGGCCTTTTAAGACACAGATGACTCATTACACTGCCTGGCAGGCAAATGAAGGCAAACTAGAAAAAGAAAGCGCATCGTTGCATTGTGACACATTCCAGTCCTCTATCACGGTGGCAAAAACGACAAGATGCACAGGGCAATTTGGGCAGTTCCGCCTACTTACCGCTGCGCAAGCTTGACTGACTCTATGCTCTTTGGGTGTACTGTAGTTGCAGGCGTATAGAACCAATCACCGCTCGATTGGCGACAGACAAGAGGCTGGTCGTGGTGCATGGTACGATTGGCGACAGACGAGAGGCTGCTCGTGGTGCATGGTACCATCGTCCGTGGGATACCCTCTGGAGGGAGAGAGAGAAAGAGACATGTCATGTAATGTGGTGCACCCTGGCTGTGCAGAAGAGCAGCTGACCTGCCTGGGTTCCTGGAAGGAGGGCTCCCTGCGCTACCTGGTGGGCAAGCTCGACCACAAGGCTGCCAAGACGGACGAGGACAAGTTCCGCTGCTTTGTAGGTTCCTCCTTGCCTCCCTCTTTCGCCCGGCGGCACGGTGTCCGGAATGCACGTCCGGCTGGTGTGTTTGAAGGGACAGGGCAAAAATTCAATATGAGATAACTACAGTCGAACCCGTTTATAACGAACTCCATCGGACACGCATTTTAGTTCGATATATCAAGTAGTTCGTTATAGCAAATATCGCTATTTCGTGAGGACAGCAAAAGCGAGAGAGATGAAAGGAAAGCGCGCGGAATAGCGGCGAAGGCTGCCGAGCGTAGCGAGCCTCACGCCGGCGCTCAGAACCGTGTTATCGCGAGGCAGCTTTCATGATGGAACATATGTATTCATATTTGTATTCATATTTCTATCAATAAATTTCAATATTGAAACATATCATCTAAGAAAGCCCGAAAATTTCTAGGTAACAGACAATAAATGAACACGATAATTCCGTAAAATTGAGAAGGAAAAAAAAGTCGTGGCACTTACGACAGAGAGAAGTCTTTATTACCTGTTCTTTTGATATTACCGACAGAAGCTGGTAATTTTTGCCTGCGTCTTCGCTTTTACTGCGTCCTTCAAAATTTCATCCTCGACGCGAGATAGCTGGTTTACCAGACTTAGTCCACTTCCCTGAATCTGGGAACAGTAGCGACGGAGCACTTCCGTCGCTGCAAGCGCCTCGCGAAGCGTCGGGCAAGGTGCCTCTGGGTCCTCTGCCTCCTCGTCGTCGTCGTCGTTTGCTGAAGCCGCCACGACCTCGGCGACAATTTCGTTGTCTGAAGGACTGCTGGTCACTGCGACATCATCATCCACTCCGAGAAAATCTTCCAGCTCCACGCCATCCGGGACCGCGTCGGGAAGACGGCCGAGGTTCGTGGTGAGGAGCACCGTAATTCTAGCTTTGTTCAGCTTGCCGCCATGGTACTTCTCGCCTTGTCGTGCCAAGGTCCGACTGGGTAGGAGCTGCCAAAACAGTGCGGTTTCGTCGGTATTATAAATATCGCAGGGCCTGTACTGCTCCGTAATTGCTGGCCAGTTTTCGGCGATCCACTTCTTGACGCTTTCATTGTCGACTGCTTGACTCTCGCCGGCGACAACTTTGCCTACGATGTCGTAACGTTCCTTGAACCGTTTAAGCCATCCGGATCCGCCACTAAAATCTTGAACGTCGAGCAAAAAGGCAAAGTCTTTTGCTTTCTGCTGTAACATGGGGCCCGAAACTGGAAGGTTTCGAGCGCGAATATCCAAAAACCACGCGTACAGTGCCTTTTCCACTCTGTCAAAGGCAGGCGCCCGAATGCGCTTTCCGTCGGCGTTCGGTCGATCTCGGGCCTTTTGCAGGATCGCTGGCTTGTTTTTCAGTATCGTACTCAGCGTGCTTCTGGCGATCTTGAAGGATGCAACGACTTCTGACTTCTTCTCGCCGCATTCAACGCGCCGGATTATTTCCACCTTGGTAGAGAACGGTAACGATGAACGCACCTTGGTCGCCATCTCTTGCGGGAACAGGAAGGACACAAAGAACAACGAGCCTCCTCGGCAAAACGCTAGGAACAAGAGAGCCATGTCCGGCCTGGTACGGCTGCAGGATGATGTCATCAGAACGTCATTGCACGCTTGCTCTATCATTGGCCAGCGCGCTTCCGCGGGGGCCGGTTGCGGGCGTTCGCAGTCGGTGTTGTGACTCATCGTCTCAAGGGTCATCTTGTTTTTCTTGGTTTTCTCTTGTCCTCTGTCACTCTGTGCATTGCAGGGAAGCCCGCGCGTCTCCACGGGGGCGGTAGCGGGCGCTCGCAGTTCGATATATCCGATGTGTGGTTCGTTATAGAAAGTATATTTCTCATGAATATTGATCTTAAAATTTCGTGTGTTCGATATAGACCATAATTCGTTCTAACCGGGTTCGTTATAAATGGGTTCGACTGTATATACTGCTAGGACCCATTGTACATTCCTATATTTCTCATTAGTTTGTTTTGAAAATGGCGTGATAGTTTATTGGATAAATTGATTTAGATGCAGGACTTCCGGATCCACCCATTTGGGAAGGTTTCCACATCTGTTGGGTCGGTGACCTCGTTTGCCCAATGCGCAGCGTTTCCTTGGACGGACTCGCAGACTTGGCTCTCTCAGCGTCTCATGCTTCAGCTTCCTCCAGGGTGTCTAGAAAATTATTATTCTGAAATTCCCTGACTTTTCCATATTTTCCCGGACAATTTTAGGTGAAATTCCCTGACCGCTGTAGAGGCGGTTATATATATAAGATCATTACAACAAAAGACATTTTTTTATTTAGACAGCACAATTATAATCAGCTCAAATTAGGGTATCTGACTAGAGTGTCTAATGCTCTTGTTGCTTGTCAGCCATTGCACAAGGGTTGTTCAAGCACACATCTCTTACTTCTTAAGGGGGTCGATTTTTTCTTGCAGGAGAATGGCCTCCATTAGTGATTCACTGAGCAGCCTTCACATCTTTTCTTCTAGTTCTTTCACAAGAGCAGCCACTTTTTTCTTGCTTTTCTGAATATCTGACTCCCCCTGACTTTCTCCTTTTTCTGCAGTTTCTCTCGAAAGATGCTGTAGGAATTGCGAATCATCTTGTCAGTAGTTTCAACGTTGTCCACACCACTTGCTGCCAACATAGTGTCACGAACCACTCGCTGCGCTATGAGCGATTCTTCTTTCAAGTTTTCAACAGTGCACTCTTTGTTGACTGAGAAGCCTCTTTCTACAGCAGCATTGCCGTGAGACAAGCATAGGATGACCTTGATGAAAGACAGCAGCTCTTTGTGATCATGCGAGCAGAGATCTAGCCACAGAATGTCCAGCCTCCTTTCTTTCCTGTCAAAATCTTTCAGTTTTTCGTGTGCAGGGCCCAGTGAACAGATCTGCACATAGGAACGATGGGCCCATTCTGCTTGCAGACCAGTCAGCCACTGGTCTTCTGAAAGCATTTCAAGTGCGACAGTCAGTCGTTTGCGGCCAACCTCCGGAGACAATGCGAATGGTAGATCCAAACGGCTGGCACCCCTAGTTTATGCTTCTATGGTGACCTCTTTATCACCTTTTGGGAGCACACCTTAACAAAGGAAATGCAATCTTTTTTTATTTGAGCAAGGTAAGCTGTGGTAGCTTGGGCGCTTTGCGCAGCTCAGTCTTTGCCGCAAACCCAACGTCAAAGGTGCCTACAGCTATAGAGTTACCGGATTTTTCCAGGTCAACCTCCAGTAGCTTAACCCTTTAAGTGCCGGGTTTTATTTTGGCCTGGCGGTGCCCCTGCGCTGGGTTTTTTTTTTCACTGCACGAACAATTTTATTTTGGGTGTAATCTTTGAAAGTTACTGTGAAGCATAGAGAGGACCGGACGAAGCTTGTGCTACCTGTCACCACGCAGTTGCTGTTCATTATTGGAGAAATGAAGAAATCGGAGGATCAGCAGGTAGCGGTTGCGGTTTATTAGCTTGGAAAAAGCTGGTGTGCTCAGAAGAGGATCCAGTGTCCAGTACTCTGCAAGGCTACCCTTCTTTATGTGTGCCATTAGCGTTGTCACCGCCAGAAACATGTACATGTTATTTGCGGTGACATCCTTCCACTGTTGCATGCGCGACTGCTCAGACGGCGTACACAAAGCGATCACTTGTTGGTAATAAAGGTTTGTCTGCCCAACAATTACATCCACAACATCTGGGGGAAACAGGAGCTCAAAGTACTCCAGTTCACTTGAGGTTTTCGTGATGCCTGAGGTACAGACTGTGGAAGACAAGTCAGAACTGTGAAGAATGGGAGCAAAGTCACCTGTAGTCCACTTTTAGCCAGTGTCGTCGGGGTTTTTCTTTTTGAGTTGCCTCTCAGGCGACGTCGAGTTGTCATTACTTTCATCACTCTCCGAAGTACACTCGGTTTCACTGTCATCAGATTCTGAATTCATTAGGAGTTCCTGTATTTCAGCATCCGTCAAGGAGCGCGAAGTCGAAGCACGTGTGTTCGCCATTGGAAAAGAATGTTGACGTGAAAACGCATACGGAAGTCGCCTTTACAAAAATTTCCACCTGCCGTCAAGAGGCAAAACCACCACTCAAAACATTGATTCAATTGGTTGTCTATAGGCGGCGTTTCCTGTTTAGAAGGATATTGTCAGCCCGAGTTTAGCCAAGAGAGGCAGGGAGTAAATTAAAAACTTGAAATGAGTATACTCGGGTGCAGCAGGGAGTGTGCAAGGAAGCGCGCCCGAGTACACTCGGGCACGGCACTCAAAGGGTTAAGTGGCGTGTCTGCGACATTCAAGATTTCCTTGGGAATTCTTGGAAGCAGCGACCGTAGGATGTTATACAGTGCCGTTGAAAGAAAGTGAACCATTGGCTTGCCAGTCTGAAATTATGCCAAAAATGGCTTTTGTTTTTTAGCAATCGGCAGCATGAAGGGCAGTTTTGACAGCAACAGCTGATCCCCGACTGCGTTCACAACGGTGCCGTAGCTGGAGCATGTCGGCCACTTGTTTGCCTTTGCTGAGCACTCTACGAACTTTGCCAAGTTCGGAAGAACTTGTAATGCCGTGGTGACGACCTTGCCATTTTTGAGCCACTTTACTGCACAGAACTTGAGAGGAAATAGTGTGCTCCCGGTGAAGTTTGCGTAATCGGCACGACGAGCAGGCACATAGTTGAAGAGGTTGTAGCTGCTGCGAAGAAATGCTCCTACATCAAAACCAGTTGTGGCATGGCCTGCCTTTTATGCACCGTTCATTACGTGCAGCCCACAACTTTCAATGTCCAGAATATTGTGGCTCTCGTCCGATTCCTTCAGTTCTTCCTTCAGTGACCTTAGAAACTTCAAGTTTACATTTGGACCATCCATTTAAACTTGCAGTATCTTCGCTTGCTTGACCGGTTCTGTGGCCTCCCTGAATGCTGATGTCCTCTGCACAGGTTTGGCCCAGTAGGCACAAAGTGAGGTACTGTGTCTTCTCAGTGCCATTGGTAGTGTCATCCCAATATCGGACGAGCACATCCATCTGCTGCTTCTGAGTCAATTTGTGAGCAATTCGTCAAACGAAACAACTACGAAATGCACAGTGGCGAGGATTGATAACAGCTTATTCCGAAGGTAGGGCACAATACCATGGCAGACGGTATATCCTACCTTGCCCTTTCCTAACTGAAGTTTTGCAGCTACTTCACACGTGGGAAACATGAGGGGGAAGCGTATGGCCAATGCAGCTGTAGAACAAAGGGATCCGTCAATGCTGCCGAGTTTAAGCACCGAATTATTTCGGCCTTTGTCTCGGCGCTCTTCAGTAGAAAGTCGCTCATCGACGTCTTCACGCTTGTTGTGGTGGTTGCAGGCTCCGCAGGGGCACATCTGCGGTGTCCACAACATCCGGCTGAAACATTTATTCCTGCCGTAAAAAATGACAGAAGTCCAGATTGGGAACGGCTTGACTGAGACTTCAAAGCAGCAACGTGATTTTCGCTCGATGCGTGACTGGAAACTGCTGGGTTTCCCATGTTGCTCAAAGAAAACGTTTTGTAGCACATTGCACATTGAGCACAGTGAGGATCATTTGGCACGGGCTTAATCCAACTTGTATATTTTGAAATTTTCGGGTTCGTCCAGTCCGGATTAAACGGGCACTTTCTTTTCGCCGACATTGTCAGTAAAAAGGCCACTTTCGGAAACACGATGAAACCACGACGCTCAACCACACACATCAATGACCGAATGGCAGCATGGCTGCCAGATGCACACTTTCGGATACTTTTGGCTTAAGGCTTGGATTGGATTGGGGTTTGTGGCTTTCCCATTTGTTACTAAGTCTAGTGGCTCTAACTGGATCTAGACTAGAGTCATGCCCTCACTCGAATCTAATGCATGGCTTGGACTGGATTTGTCGGTTGTTCCCTTTGCTTTGGGTAGCACATTCTACATCGGGTGAGCAGAGCCCGTGCTCCGCTCTAAGCAAAATTGATTGCCCATTTTTCTGCACCCAAGAGTCTTTGCTTAGGGCACTCGATGGCGCTACCAGCTTATTTTTCCTGAACTGGGCTTGCTTTTCGACAATATCCATGACAATTCCCCGATTTTTCCCGGTAATTAAAATATCCCTGACAATTCCCGGTTTTCCCGGTCGCTAGAAACCCTGTCCTCGTTTTCCTTCCTTGTTTCAAGCGTGCGGTTCGCGACGATTACGTTTTCAGCATAACTCACTTTGTCCAAGTCTTCGACATTGATTGCTGCTGCGGTGAGAGCGATTTGTATTGAGAGATGTTATAAGCTGGTCATTTTGTCCAAGACTTGCTGGCGAACAACTTTACTGATGACGAGATCGTCAGGGACGAACTCGCCGTGGTTGCCGTTGTCCACAACAATCTCGCACGTGCATGCAGATTGGAAGGTCAAAGGGTCAAGGGCAAGAGCAAGAGTAGCGTCGGAGTAGCCAAGTTGCGTGAGAAGATTTGATTGTACCATGGCAAGGCGAGCTAGAGCGTGCATGGGTGCGCCTGGAACGAGAGAGCTTTCACCTTCGCGTGGTTTATGGGCACCGTGGTGTGACTAACTCGGGCAGTGTTGCCTGGTCGCTAGATGAAAACGACCAACATTTGTAAATTGATCATTGCAATTACTGGAGCCGTAAAAATTGCGATACTAAATGTATATACTAAGTAGCCTAGGAGTATTCCGTTTCAAGAATAATCCGCTCCTTTAATTTTTATGTCCTAACTCCTCTAATCCTCCTGTGCATCTAAAGCAGTCCCAAAGTGGCAATAAATGATGTTTTGAAAGCCGGAGTGTCATGCCGTCGGATGTCATGATCCCGGCCGATTGGGTGTGGAAGTTCTGGAAAGAAGTGGGAAGGAATGCTATTGCTGCCGCGGTGTCACTACTCCCGACTGCCAAAGCTTCCGTAGACTGTCGAGCTGGAGGGCTACCTGCAGCAGCAGAACGGGAGTCTGCTACATCCACCACAGCTGATGTCACGGCGTGACACTTCTGTGTCATCATCAGGTGTAAATGAAGGGACCACTTTTTAGGGCATGTTAAACACACCAGTCGGAGGCACATTCTGCGCCTCCGTCACAATCTGGCCAGGGAGCTTGGCCGTAGGCCTCCCACGCTCCTTTACTCGTTTCGCTTTCCTCCGTGGATGGAGAAAGAGTAGCTTCCTCTTTATGCTTCTCACTATCCTTTAGGCTGTGGCTTTCTTTTTTATTCCGGGCACTGTAGTGCCGACGCCTTGGCGACCCCACGTTAACGGGCAGATGTGCGTGGGTCCCGTGTAGGTGTACGAGAAGACGGACTCCCCCCGGGAGACCCCTGTGGCCCAGTCTGGGGACGCCACCTGCGACGGCCTCACCAGTCCCTGGGAGGGCTCGCGGACCATGCTGCTGCGCCCGGGTGAGTGGGTGCACCAGGTGTAGAGTAACGTAGCAAACGGGAATTTGAGGTATGGTTGCGCACCATTGGCATGTTTTTTGGGCTTCTACGGTAAAGAGAGGTAACGTCGAGGAAAACGTAACTGGGGCCTGTGCAGAGTGCAAGTTCGTCTGCTTCTGCAGGGGTTGTGGTGACATCAGAACGCCGAGCTCTGATTGGTTTTGATTGAAGGATAGTAGGTAGACCTCAAGGCAGCTTGCTTTGAGGTCTACCCACTATCCTTCATTCAGAGCTCTGCGTTCTGACGCCACCACAACCCCTGCAGAAGAAGCAGGCAAACTTGCGCTCCGCATAGAGGCACACAAATCAAACGTTTTCTTGAATTTTTTTTTTTTTTATAATTTATGCATTATTGCAGTGGTTCTCAAATGGGGGTCCGCGAAGGCATTCTAGGGGTTTGCGAAGCCAGGCCTCTTCAGTCTGGCCCGGCAATAAAAGTTGTCTTTTCTCAGGTCAAGAAGAAATGTTTCAGTTTTCGGGTGAGTTTTCTCGTGTGTATGTCAATAAGAGAGGTCCACTTCACATTAGCCCTTAGTTTTATATATTTAATAAATAACTATCATAATAAAACTTTAGATTTCTCTTTACCTCACCGCGAACGGGGTCCTCCATCATCCCCGCCAATCCAAAAGGGGTCCGCGAAACATCAGTGGGAGAGAACCACTGCATTGTTGTATTGTGAGCCTCTGCTCAAATGTAGGACTACATTCGAACCCAGATATACCGAATTCAAAAGGGATCATAAAATAATTCGATATATCGATAATTTGATATATATGTTAACTTAAGCTCCAGTTGAAATTTCCCAGTGTCTCTGCTAATACCGAAGGCCGCGACAAACCGGACCTTACCAAATAGAGCCTCTAAGAGCCACTAGATACACTAGATCCTAGTTGGTAAAGATCACAAACACCGCAGCGTTTAGGCGAGAGTGTTTGCAATCGAGCACCGCTAACAAAACACGAAAATAATTTATAAAAATGAAAGACCAGAAAAAGCGAGCCGCATAAGAAAACTCTCGATTCATAGAATAAAGTTAAGCAAGCAAGAAAAAAGAAACCTCACCTAGGCAGCAAAAAAAGAAAGGCAAAAAAACAAAAAGAGAAAAAAACGGGCAAAGCAAAATCGGTGAAAGAAAAAGGTAAACAAAGATAAGGCGTCCAAAGAGTGTGATTGCTCAACACCAGTTATAGACTTACTTGACTTGACGAAGACTTTTTTTTTGCTTATTTTATTTTGTGGGGGGCTAAGGAGCCGCGCAGCGACAGCGGTGTTCGGGGAAAGAGCGCACGCTACCATTCCGTTCGGGCACCCCCTGGCCCCTGTCCTCCCTACGGGTGCCCTTCCCCTTGCTTTTGCCATCCTCCACTTTTTTTTTTCAGTTTTTTTTTTACAACTGCTTTTTTGCTGTGTATCCTTGTGGGCGTATTACAGTCCCATTGCATCAACTCAGTTTAAAATCAATTAGCGCTAACAAATTTGTGTGGCTCCTTGTGGCGGTTTCCCTCCCACGGCATATACAACACGCACGCACGCAAGCACGCACGTGCACACATACACACACAAACAAACAAAAAACAAAGCTCTGCAGATTCAAAGTTCTTTATATGTATTATTTTTAGTCGGGTTAAAAATTTTAGGCAGAGAGGCTCACTAGATGAACAATATGTTTTCACGTGACTCTCCCCAACACACAGATATGTTCGCTGCTGGGCCATGGCGCCACTGTTTGCGAAGTTGCGCTGATATAGAGAGTAGGGCATGCTGGCGCCATCACCTTTTCCAAGTCGGATTTTCTTCCTCTCGAAAGCTGAAACTGTGCGGAGGTGATCGCTTGGCTAGTCGTTTATGATTCATCCCATGGCACTTTGGATCTCATCTGCAGGTGGTTGCGAGTTGATGGACGCCAGCAGTTGTCAGACAGTACACATACATAACAAGCACAAAGCGAATTCGTTGGATTTGTGGGCCATTGTAAACGGCGAGCGCGTTCAACTTTGTTTACTTGTAGCGGGTCAATGGGGCGGGGGGGCTTCACGAGTCGATCGGATTACTTATTTGTATATTTTTTAAGTTCGGGCCCTGGACTACATGGCAGCCCTGTTGGCGCTTCCCTATGGATGGCACCCTGTGCGGCCGCAAAAGTCGCCCGCCCTAAGGCCGACCCTGGATTTAGCGATGTTGCCATTGCAGTCCTGCCTTGCTCTCGTCGCATTAAGGCTAGTTCACACATTTGCTACTGCTTACAACCGTGTGCCTGAAAACCTTTTAAAATCTCTTATAATACGAGGACATGCTGGTGCAATCTATCGATTTGCAGTGGAACACTAGGCCAATACCGTATATTTCATATTTCTTTCACGCATCAATCGTTTTTTGTCGGCTGGAGAAACTTTTGACAATCTTTTGAACAACCATTTCTCGTGATGGTATGTACGTCTGATCTCGGAAATATTGCAAAACTTTCACTCTATAGTCCGTTGCAACCTAAGAACGAAGGGCGAGGGCAAGACGGGCCGGGGAGGAGGAAGCAGACGGAAAGCTAAAGAGAGAAGGAGGTTTCCCTCTCTCTTCTCCAGCGTTCCGTCTGCTTTCTCCTCCCTGGCCCGTCCTACCCTCGCCCTTCGTTCTTAGGTTGCAACGGACTATAGAAAAATGCAGTTTCAGAGTCACCTTACAGATGGCGTCCGCATGCCAGTGTATCTTTTTCCTCAAGTGATCTTAACACGGTTCAAAGCAAACGCAAGTATGTGAACGGGCCTTTAGTCATGCCCCCATACCTCTCTAAAATTAAGCAAAAAAAAAAAATAGCCTGCCCCCTTTATTATGGTGCTTACCGAGATGGGGTGCGTCTGCAGGCTGGGCGTCCCGGCAGGAGCCCTGCGCGTGGCCCGAGTGGCTGTCCCAGGGCAGGCGCTGGAGGACGCTGGGAGGGGACACCCTGTACGAGCTGGGCAACCTGACCCTGGATGTGCGTGGGCCCCGGGGCGACCTGGACCTGACGATGCGCTGCCATGCCTTGGGACCCAGCCAGGAGGGCAGGGCGCAGCTGCTGGTGCACGCCACTCGGGGCTGGTGAGTGCCGCACGGGCATGCCACAGAACCTGCGACGCATTAACCGACCGGCTTGTTTCGGCGTCCTATCTCGCGCATGCGTTGAAAACGGTCCCGTAGTGGCAATGAGGGAAATCGAAGCAGATGTGTCGTGCTGTCAGACGTCGCAGCTCGGCGTTTGGTCTTAGAAGTCCCGGCAAAAGGAATGGGCAAATACGAGTGTCGCCGTCGTCGCGGCATCCCAACTCTTGACTGCCGAAGCTCCCGTGGACTGCCAAGCTGGAGATCAACCAGTGGCAGAACAGTCGTCTGCCATGTCTACAGTAGAACCTCATTGATACAATCTCAGATCGTTCGATTTGCCATCGCATACATTCATGATTGAGGGCTTGAGGAATGTCCCATAGCATTACGCCGTTCTTTTACCGGTTCATATGTTCCTGGACAATACAATTTCCCGGAAAGTACATTCAAAGTTTCACCAAACACCGATCGGATTACGCATTTTCTGGACAGTGGGCCGACGGAACCACACTATGTTTCTCACCACGCACTGGCCGCCCTTCGGACGGAAGGGGTGTAGTCGTTCGTCGAACATTACATCAGTTTCGAATTTGCATGCGGCAAACTAGACGGATTGCGCAGGATGATCTAAAGGTCAAGCGACTCTGTACGCATTTCGGCTGTCTCGCAATGACAGGTACAAGTAGTTCCGGTGAGACAGGACTGCAAGCAACATCTTCGTAGATGCAAAAAGCTGGCAAATATCACTCATGAGGTCACTGTCTCGTCTTCTACCGATGAAGGGCATTGTACAAAAAAACTTTTTCAAGCTCTTCATCCTACTGATGTCAGCGCTTGCGATGTGCCTCTTTCTCCTGTCTTCACGCTGTGTATGCTGCGTACAAACTGTGTACAGACAAACAATGTGTTCGCTTCTTAAGTTTTGAGCGTTTTTACGACAGGAAGGTGACCAAGAGTCACTCTCAGTTACTCCACCAAGTGCTTGAAGGCATACTGTAAACTGACTCCACACAACTCTGGGGACGATAAACGCTTCCCTAAGTGTAACTCTTGAGCCACATACCCGAGAACCGGCAATGGTGTCGCGCAAGTGGAAATTTTCGTAGTTGAAGGAAAAGCTGAACATTTTGGCGGTTGTCTACCAGGACACTAAACAGAAGAGAATTGACATCGCTACAGACTTCGAACTGCCTGCATCTACAGTCAACACAGTCGCATCGAAACGAAAGGATATAGAAGGAAACAGCTTTATCTTCAATGCAGTGACGAATCAGGCCCACACAGCAAAGCATGGAGAGTTAAGGAATGCGCTGCTTAAGTGGTTTAAGAAAGGACGGGCGTCTGGGGTAAACCTCGACGGCAGCATTCTGTGGGAAACGGCCATGGGGATTGCTGGCATTGTGGGCATTGAGGACTTCGCAGCATTGAACGGCTCGATGGGCCGGTTTCAGGTTTGCCATGGCATCTCCTACCGTCAAGTGAATGGTGAAGCTGCCAGCATGAATCCAGCGGATATTGAGAACTGGGTAACAATGCTTCCGGGCATCGTGAAAGCCTACGCACCACACAATGTCTACAACACCGACGAACTTGGACTTTTCTTCAAGGTACAACTTACGAAGTTCCTGAGTTTGAAGGGGGATTCGTGCCATGGGGGGGTTGGGAAGGTCAGCAAGAAATGAGTAACCGTGCTGCTCTGCTGCAATGAAGATGGCATAGACTTAGGGTGACCACCTTCCTGCTAGCGAAATGTGGGACACGCAGGGCAGGGGGGGGAGGGGAGGAGGAGGAGGAGGAGGAGCACATACCATTGCTGCCATGAAATCGCCGCGACAACACGACACCTCTACGACATTGTCGGGCAGACATCAAGGGACTAGGTACTTTCGAGGACGCAGTAAAGACGCCATTTGGAGATGCCAGACACTGTAACGAAATGGGTCCTGGGATGCGTCTCCGACCGGCACGTTTATGCCGCATCCTCGAACGTGGTTTCTCATTTTCCACCCGGCGACGCAACACAAGTGTCACCCCGCCGAATGCCAGGATTCGGGTGGTGGCACCGCGGGGAAGGTGAATGCGGCAGACTGGTGCCACTTAGAAAGCAAGGCCTGCACACAACGTCATCGTTAGGGGATCCATGACTCGCTTGAACGCCAAGTGCACCGAAATTTGACGAGAGTCGCGCAACGTGGCAGACGTGTCCATCTCGGCATCGTTGTGCATTAGCGTCACGCTCGTTGCAAGATGCTGTGAGGCGCACTGGAAGCGATCCCAACGCATGCTGGGTGGCACTGCATCGATCCACCAGTGGTGGATCTACGGTGGATCCAAATGGTGATATTTGGGGGTGGGGAAGGCACAAACACCTTGTCTTTTGGGTGGTATTGGGCAGACGTCCGTTCTGCTGCAGGTCGCTCTCCAGTTCAACGGGCCACGAAAGCTTCGGCAGCCAGGAGTAGAGACGCCACGACGATGGCACGACACTTGCGTTTAGTGCTTTTTGCCGGAACTTCTACGACCGACTGTAGGGATCCCGCCATCTGACAGCACTACGCTCCGGCTTTTGCGACAGTTTGTTGCCGCTTCGAAACCATTTTTGATGCCTGGGAGGTATGACACTAAAAAATGAAATATGTTTACAAATCTGTAATGCGAAATTAGAGCACAACTCTTGAGGAGGAAGAGGGGAGGGTATGCCTTTCCTCCTAATCCATACCCTCCACTTCTCCATCATCTCCTCCTCCAGCTCAGTTCCCCCGCTAAATTTAGCGGGGGAAATGACGTCACATGACTTGGTGTCACGTCACCCATGAACAAATTCAGTTTCTCCGCTCGATTTAGCAGGAAAATTGAGGTCACACATGACATCAATTTTTCCACTAAATCTAGCAGAGAAACTGAATTTCCCTGCAATTTAGCGGGGAAATGAATTGGTGTTGAGGTCACGTGACCTCAGTTTTCTCACTAAATTTAGCGCAGTTACGCCGACGCTAATGCCACGAAACCCGGAAACGGGCGCCTAAGAGCTGTGCTCTAAGACGCACCCGTTTGAAGACACGTTCCAGACACGGTACCCTGACTGCACGAACTGGGAAAAGGAAAACGTAACGACCGACAATGCTTTTTGAGCCTAGGCACGAGACAGGGAGAAACTCTCCGACAGGAAATCATCTCCCCTGGACTTTCGGGGCTGTAGAAAAGTGCCGTATGCAGTCTAAGCTCATTATAACAGACCTTGGTTTTGACCAAGATTTTGGTCTGTTGTAAAAGGAGTATGTTGTATGCAGATATGAAGTTGAGTCAATGGCGCATAGAGGAAAACCAACCGAACTTCACAAATCGGTATGTTATATCCAAATGTCTGTTGTCTCTTATAATGAGCTTAGACTGTATATTCAAATATAAGGTGACTCTTTTGGGGAGCAATTTGTTAACTTATATGGGCTATCAATAACCATAGCTGAAGAATGTGCACGTCTAAGAGTAAGCAGAATTTCTGCACCCCTCAAGTTAGCCACCACTGCTAGCACGCCGATGCGAAGCGGTGAAACTTGATGCACACACAACGAACGGGAAATAATGACATGTTCGTGTGGGAGTTAAATGGGATCGGCTTTCAGCGGGGGGCAAATCGACGAGGGTCTACTGTATGAGCAAATTAGCAGTCCATACACAGTAGTGTTGACGACATGCGTTTGTGACTGACATTGCCTAATGCTGTGTGTTTTACGTCTTTCAGTGACAGCAGCTACCGGTGCATGAGGCTGTACCGGAGAGCTTCGCACATTGTGGAGATGCAGCTGGGTAAGCTCACGTGCAGTTGTGCAGTGCAGTTGTGCTCGATAGTGCAGTTGTGCTCGCGAAGTAAACACTCCCACAAGACCCACAGTCAGGTGCATGAAGAAACATAAAAACAACTTTGTACAGTGTACCGAAAAGGTGGTCTACTCCTTCCCTCTATCCTGTGGACGACAATACATAGGACAGACCGGACGATGCGTCAATGATCGCCTTCGCGAGCACAACTGCACTATCACCAATAAAAACTCTGGACAGCTGGGAATTCACTGTCGAGACTGTGGCTGCTCAGCGCAGCTGGAGAAATGCACAGTGTTAGGCAGGAACTACGACAAGCTAACAAGAGAAATCATGGAAGCAGAGAACATTGCCAGGCAAGAGGAGAGATCTGTCAGCACTCCTTCCATAATGTTATCCAAAAAAAGAACTAGAGTACTTAGCCATACAATAGTTTTATGGTTTAGCTTCCTATTACAAAAACACAGGAAGAAGAAGGAAGAAGAAAAGGGCAATTTTTCGCAATAGAAACCCTAGTCCACAAAGAAAGACAAAAACGAAAATTGTAAATATAACCTAGAGTTGTCAGTCAGCGCTGTGTAAGTGGCTCTTTCTTTTGTGTGCATGAAAACTTTAGAGTGCTTGTTTTGAAGGTGCGCTGTTTCCTTGTCAGTCATGAACAACCAACTTGCCCGAACCTCCGTTTTAAATAAAAACATTGGCGGGCATAAGTACCCCGTCGGTGTCCCTTTAATATTAATAGGGATGCAATGTTCAGTGTGTGGCTGCAGCTTGGATCGGAGAAAAAGAGACCGCCCTTTGAGGGCGCTGCGTCCCAATGGGCGTCTGTTGCACTCTGTGCAGGCCGTTCGAGCAGCGACCAGAGCGAGGCTTGCAGCAGCAGCCATTTTGACTCCAGCAGGGCAGAGCTGGTCACCCTGCTCAGGGAGCAGCCCGGTGAGGCTCCACTCGCCGGCCTTACCCCGCCGGCCGCCCTCTAGCCCTGTCCACGCACACGCGTTTGATTACGACAAAGTTCTTGCGATCTGTTACTAGCGCCATCCATGAGGTGGCCCTGGAACTGCATTTAACTGGAGCAAAGGGTTTGCAGCATTTGCGAGATCAAACGCACGTGCTATCTACAAGAAATGATTGTTTGTAATATTGTCACACTTTATGAAAGCCCGCAGTGAAAGAATGAGGCCTAAAAAATTTGAGAAATATGTGCAACTCGCAAGTGTTCTTGGGCTGCCAGACAGATGGTGCCAGCGTGTCCTGCCACAGTAAGTGATCGCAAGAAGTCGTAAAGCACTCAATTGCAACCAAATGCAAGTGTGTGAACCAGCCTTTACGATTGAACCTGGCTATATCTAGAATTGAAAGAAGATAGCAAAATAGCTTGATATATATCGATAGTTTTATATAGAACTCTATTTACACAAACACAACACCGTAACCGACGCAGCTCACGTGCACACCTTGCTGCGCACATGAGCTGAACGTGCCTGGCTGCGCGTTTAGTAACCCAAGCGACGGAATGCGAAATAAGAGAGAAAGCTGGAATTTATAAAAAAGTGTGGGATGCATAAAAAGAAAAAGAAACTTTCTCTCTTTTTATGAAAAGAATTAAACAAACAAAAAAACAAAAAGAAACCATGTAAAAGCAAATACGGAGAGAGAAGGTGCAAAGAAATGCAGCGAAAGCTCGGCTCAGACGGCCCCTCTGTCTGCACGAGGCGCAGGGGCGGAGCCGGAGCGTTCCCTGTGCCCGCTGGCGGGCACCTTTCTGCTGGAGGGTCCCCAGCTGCCCCGGCTGGCCTGGGACGCTCCCTCGGGGCCCGACCAGGACTGTCCCCAGCGGTCCCAGCTCAGCTCGGGCTGCGCGGGGGCAGACCGGCTCGAGCTGCTCTTCGACTGCAGCCCCCACAAGAGGCTCAGGAGTGAGTAACGCATTCAACCCCCGACAGAGTTCCCAAGGGCCGGCGAATAATCTGCGCTTTGAAGCGTCGATGCTTTCTTCCCCAACTGTCTCGCGGGGTTCGCCCCTTCGTTGCCCATACAGTGGACTCGCGGTAATTCAAACCCGGATATTTCCTACTCTCGATTCATTCGAACAAATTTCAGAATTTTGGTCGTCCCGCTATTTTTTTTTTTAATGTATTTATAACCCGCTTAATTCTAATGGCGTTTTCGTGTCATTCATACTTTTTGTTCTTGCGGCTCCGTTGAGTGGGCTTCTCACCGAGCAATGGTGCACTGCAGAAAAGCAACAGCCACGGAGCTCGCTTCCACGGGTGCTCCATCTCCGCAGTCTATCGGTGTTCAATAAAAAGCACGCTCAACGGCTATGGTCCACAATAGGCAACATTTTTGCCGGGTGAACAAACTTAATTCTGTCTTGAGACGTCATGTGCTGTCTAAATGGTCGCACGACAGGCAACGTTTTTGAGGGATGAATAAACTTATCTCACGTATTTCACCAATGTCTTGTGCGTGGCATACCCGCTTATGATTGGTTGGCTTGTGTAGAGGAAATCATTGAATATCTGCTTTGTATGTGAAGCCATTATATAACAAATCATAATTTTATCTTGCATCATATTTTGATGAATTTCAGATAATTCAAACTTGTGATAATTGAAACAAAAACTTGTGACTTCTTGGGGCTTAGTTAATGAGAATCTACCGTAGTCACTGACAAGGTGATAGTGGCAGGGAAGAGCTTCAGTTGTGCTGCCTCCAATGCAAGTTTTAAGTTTTTATGTACCAAGATGGCTGAAGTATTATTACTCTTCAGCTTACGAAGTGCCGTCACCCTTCACTGAACGTTACTTCATTGTATCCAATTTTTCGCTGTTTCTGGATTAGTAGGATTCCGTGTTTTCGGAGTTAGCATCTTGTGGAATTCGGAGGCTGTTTTTCTGAGTTTATTTTTGTTAGATTTCCGGTTTTTCAAAACTTACTAGTTCAAGATTTTAAAGGAAACCAAAGTGGCCTCTTCTCAAAACCACTGACCCTATACTCTTGCAAAATTAAGCGTATATGTAAAATGCCATCTTTTTTGCTTTTTATTTTTGCCATCGTAATTTCAAAATTCTGAGTCTTTTTAATAAATCCGAATTGAAGGAAATAGGCACGGGGTGTTGTTGAGATAAAAAGAACCGTATTTTTCAGCCCGCATAAATAAGCTAGGCATCTCGGGAAGCTCGAAGCCCGCGAGTATGTGACGCTATCGGTTTGGATAGAGCACAAGAGATTGAGAACAGGACGACACCTGGATCAAAAAAAGAAAGAGAATGGACTGACAAGGTAGTGAGATCCGGTATTGGCCCTCGGACGTACCAGTGTTTTCCGCATAAAAACCGCACTTCACACTCGTCCCGTCCCCTTAGGGTATGGTGGTGAAATTTCGATAAAATAGTCGAGAGAACCCGGAGAAGTGGGAGAGTTTGGAAACATAGTTTCAGTAGTCGGAGTACAGTGTAGACCGCATATAACGTATGTCGCGGGAGTCGCGAAAATCCGCACTATAAGCGGTAACGCGTTATAACCAAAACATCAATTTTTCAGGCCAAAATACATGCCATGAGACAACTTACCTTTGTAAAACAAATTTATTTTCTATTAGATGAAAAATAAAGCTTAGGTTTAGGAAATTCTTTATTTCACCAGACAAGTACACTTCTCTCTCAAGTGTGTCACACATTTTGAAAGAAATGAGCGACTTTTGCCTGGCGGGTCGCGGACGGACGTTGCTAGCGTTCAGGATTGCTAACCCTAATCACTTTTCTCCGGCGATGAAAACGCGTGAAAATTTGGATCCTTTATACGGTACGTGCCAGTAATACCTTCAACTTTAGCACAGGCATGAAATGCTCTAAATAAGAAATCCGGGCGATGTTAGAAAACACAAATGCTTAGAAATCACCACTGTAGTCGAAGTAAACAAACACGACGACACAGGCGTTTCTGCCGTCTTGAAAGTGTGGCCACGACATCGCCGTACGAGTAGGTGGATCTTCCCTTCTAGTACGTGCTGGGTTATCATAGCGACACACAGCGAAAATTCAGTCAAGGATAGCGCTTTTACGCGGAACGAACCACGCCGTCTACGTTGACGATCACAACCGACGCCATGTTTGCGGATAGAAGTAGCCGGCCCGCGACCGGCATGCAACGCGCGCGAACACTTCTCCTCGACCTGCGATTGGCCTGTCGTTGCGGTTGCGGAGGGACGCACGCATGTGAACAACATGTGCTTGCGTCCCTCCGTCGCTATGGCCCCAACTGAAGCCTCTCTCTTCGTTTCTCCCCACTTCTTCGAGCAACCTCCTTGCCCCGCGAGTGCCGCGTGTTGTTGCGGCTCGCGCCGTTATCTAGTGTCGCACAGGGAAGCGTGCTCTCTGTGTCGGTCAGTCGGCGTCCGGGCTGTTCCGAAAACCGCACTATAACCGGTATTTCCCTTCGCACGCCTGCATTTTAAGCGGTATGTAAATAGATAGAGTTCTATGGGAGGCGAACCGGTGGTTTGAAAAAGCCGCGTTATACCCGATCCTGCACTATAAGCGGTTACGTTGTAAGTGGTCTATACTGTACTACCTTCCGACGCCTTGCAAGTAATGCGGGGCCGGCATCTGCGCAGGCTTCCAGTGCCACGGGAGCTGGGAGGAGAACGGCACCCACTTCGTCATTGCCAGCGCCATGCACAACCAGAGGCGCTACTGCATCGTAAGTCCCCCAGAACGCCGCTTCCTCTTTGGCTGCGCCGATGGGCGGAAACCCCGACCGCTCAAAGATCTTTTAAAAGGGACGCCGAAAAAGATTGCCCGATTTCTTGCTCTCGAATATTTCTAGATGCCTCCTAGAAATAGCCCAAGATGCCACAGTGAGCTCCGCGCATATCGCCCAATGAAGTCGGGAGTTTTTTGTTTTTTTTCGGTACTCCTCCTTGGGATGTTCTTAGCCACCTCGGCTCTATTGTCTTATGCCATGACGCTGGTCTTCTATATCGACATTGCCCAGTCAGCTACCTACAGCACCGCATCTGCCTTGGACTTGGTGGACTACGGGCGTGTGTATAGCCATGGCATCGCACTGCGATTGGCAATGACATTCTCACTGAGGCCAGACTGCACCAATCCTGGGGACAGTATGCTCAGCTGTCCACACCGTCTAATACCCTTTTGTTTGCCAGCCTCCAGGCGAGCTGGAAGTGCTGATCTTTGCGCTGTAATTGCTTAGGCCTTATAATGGTGCCGAGCTTTCAGGTGATGCTCTCGACCGCCAAAGAATATTCCACAATATTTATGTCTGTCCTAATAACTGGTGGTGATGTTGAGCTGAACCCCTGCTCTACACTCGAGAAAGTAAACATGATTCTCGGCGGAGGAAAAAACCGAACTAAAGTGTTAAACAACATTGAATGTGGGCAGTGTTCTCTACAAAAATGTGCACACGAAAATACAGAACACCTAAAAAAAGTAATGAAACGCGAATTAAACATTTTGGGTCCATTCAACAAGATGACGCAGCACCTCGATTCGCCACTTGACGACGTGACCGAAACTCGGACTGCTGAAACAGACCCCGGCAAGGCTATTCCAGATCTGCCCAAGAAACTGGACGACCTTGAAAACCAGTCTAAACGGAACAACTTTGTAACTTTTGTACTCGAACAAGAAGAAAATGAAACGGCTACTGATCTGTTAGTTCTGGTTGAAACGACTGTGTTTGACAAAAGAGAGGTAAAGTCGAAGACCATAGAACATATCCGTCTAATTGGTAGGCAGCAGATCACCGCTCGATTGGTTGTCTCAAAACTGTACGACTCTGGAAAGAAAATGACAATTCTCTATAACTGCAAAAAACTGAAAAGGAGCGAAATATTGGTAAGTGAAGACTTTCAAAGCACATCCAGATTATCAGAAAGAAGCTATGGGAAAGTGGTCGAGAAGAATGCAGTCAAGATGGTAAAGTTTGCTTGGTCCACGACAAATTATATCGGTCCATGACCAACTGTTTTCCTGGCACGAGGAATCTGGCACGTGGCGTCTGTGCGGTGATCTTTCCACGGTTTCTTCGGTATGGCTTTCGTAGCAACAAATCCCGTCAAGCAGCTTTCCCAACAGTGTTTTCGCTTTACTAAACCTCAATGCTCGTAGTGTGTTGCCGTATTTACTCGAGTCTATTGTGCACCTTTTTTCCGGGGAAATAGGTCCAAAAATCTCATGCGCGCTAGAATCGAGTGCAACCCAAAACTGCGCTACCGTATCGCCATCGACATTTCAAAATGACCGCTCCATTACACGCTGAGAAGCTGAGAGGCTTAGAGCGTAGCCAGCTCGTGTGTTTCTTGTGTTCGTATCAGCGTGGAAGTTCCCACTGCAAAGACACGCTGTGTTCACCGTGATGCTAGATTCAAAAGAAAAGTGATATTGTGCACGGAGAGCGATGGAAATCGGGCCACATCACGTGCGATGGGCGAAAGATGTGTGGTGCATGATCCCGTCTACCATGGTTATCAAGGCCTTCAAGAAGTGTGGAATTTCTAAAGCTATGGACGGCACCGAAGATGAAATGCTTTGGGCCGCTGACGGCGATAAGGAGTCGTCCGACAACAATGACGAGTGATGCATACCGCTCCACGGGCACTGCACGGGACCGTCGTTGTGATGACGACCTTGCCAGCGAGAGACAGCGCTGTTCATTTCATAGCAAGATTGAAGCATTTGGAACAAACCTTTGTTGTTCCAAGTGAGAAAAAGTTTAATTTCTGTATCCAACCTACAAAGTCTGGTGTGCGTAACAATCGAGGTCATCGCGTTTTTTGTTTTCTTTCGGACCTCGAAAAATGGGTGCGCATTACATTCGAGAGCGCTTTAGATTCAAGTAAACACGGTAAACGAGTGCTGGTAATAGCTATTTTATTGGAACACGATACTGATGTTTTGTGCATTACTGAAAGGTGGCTTAACAATCTATTTGCAAATTGCAAGTTTGTTCCACCAACTTTTGATATTTTTCGCAAAGATAGTTGGTCAAGGGGAGGGGGCATTGCCATTCTAGTTAAGAAGGGCTTAGAGTGCATTCCGATGTCTCCCGTTGAAGGCGTCATGCTTGTTTTGTAAAAACAGCATTTGGAAACTTAGTTTTTATTATCTGCGCTGCATATCGTCTGCCTGGATCAGAAGTGGTATATTTTGCTCCTCTTAATGACTAATTACTTGTGCATGTCTACAGAAAGCGAAAAAATCTGGTTAATTATTGCCGGAAATTTTAACCTTTCTTCGATGGACAAAAAATTGTGCGCGAAGGAAGCGGTGAGGTCGCCGATGGACGCACCGGTGCCTCGTTTTCAAAGCGTGCGGCAAGCTCCTTAGATGGCCCAGTCTGGAATGTTTTCGTCACACTGCGGTGGCATTTGCTGCAGGCCTTCTCGGAGAATGGACGACTGGTGCACTTTGCGGAGAGCCCCCAGGCGTGCGTGCACGGCGGGCCCTGGCCGCTCAAGGAGCCCGCCTTTGCCTTCAACCTCACCAGCACGGGTGAGCACTGCCCGCCTCCTCGCTCCCCGATTGCATACAGTAGACTCTTATTTGTTCACGCTCCAGGAAGCCACAAATTTTCTTCGAATTTATTGGAAGTTTTTCTAAATATGATGCAAGATAAAATTATGATTTGTTATATGGATGGCTACACATACAAAGCCGATATTTGGCGATATCCTCTACACAGGCCTACTTATTATCAGCAGGTGTGCCACGCATGAAATATTGATGAAATGTATAAGTTTATTCATCCCTCAAACATTTTGTCTATCATGGAATGTTTAGAAGCAACGCCTGTGGAGGCAAGCTCTGCAGGTGCTGCTTCTTTGCAGTGCACCGGTGCTCGGTTTGAAGCATGCTCAACAGGGCCGCGAGAACAAAAACTATGGATCACACAAAAATGCTGTGTGAATTTAAGTCGCTTATAAATACACGGGAAATATAGTGAGTCAACCCGCATTTTGAAATTGGTTTGAATCAACCAGAAGTATGAAATATCCGAGTTTGAATTATCGCGAGCCTACTGCATTGAGACGCTTGCAGATTAAAACCATAGGGCGAATCTGGAGCCCCCTCGATTATCTTTTTTTCAAGCGCGCCCTTCAGCTACTAGACACACCCAGCAGCGGAACTTTTTTTGACTCCACACATTCCTTCGGTTTACGCTACACCTTTAAAATAAACAAAAACATGCGTGTGAAAACATCAGAATCGGGGGCTACTAGACATTAATGTAGCAGTATGCTTGTCGACTGTTCATTGATTTAATAATATTTAATAACAGTTTCAGGCGCTTCTTTTCCCATGCTGCTGTAAGGGACTGTGATTGCCTTGACCCACAATTTTGCGATTGCACCAGTGTTGATGAACTTTTTATGGAAGCACTGGAGATGCACCAGTGTCGTTTTCGTTCTTATAATCGAGAAAGATGTGAAATGTGATTGAAAGCATTGTCCCTGTATCTCATTTTAAATTAATTCCAATTCCTTTGTATTCCCAATGTCTGCTATAATCCATAAAAGGAATTGGCAGTACTATCTTGAAACAAAATTGAAAACAATGTTGCCGAAATTACTACACAAACTGTCGTTAAAATGAGACAGCATTTTGTGTAGTCCTGTAATGCGAAAATATTTTTTTAATATGCTGTTTAGGAACTTCTGTGCTCTGGGAATATTTTTTGCTGACATTCATTCATTGAGTCTTTTGTCACATCTAAAACAAATTTTGACAATTTGTTTATGAAGCTGTTTATGGGTGTTAAAAAAAAATTTAGGGGGTTTTTCTGTAAAAATAAACTAGTCTGCATCGCCAAACGTTCATTCTTCGCCGAAAAATAGCACTAGTGGTCGGAACCAGATGTTAAAGTGTGATCAGTGTTACCTTATTAAAAATGTTTAACTAATTTTCTAAAATTTTCAATGGAAAAATGGCGACCGACGGAGCCCTCAATTACATAGAACTGAATGCTGCCAGTCACCAAGAACAAGCCCCATTTTCCCATTGAAATTTTCAGAAAATCAGTTATCATTTTTGAATAAGATAACGCTTAGACAGCCGAGCCCGGTTATATCACACGCGGGTATTTTGAATCATTGTTTATATAGAACAGTCCAAACATCCCCTTGAAAATCAGATGTGATAGTATAGGAGCCTTGTTTTTTTGTATCGAACTCCTGTGGCGGGGACACTCGATATAGCAAACAAGCGAACGAAGAACGGCCGCTCGCACGGGCGCCCGTCGCTTTTCTTGCGGTCCATTTGGTAAGGTCCCGTTTGTCGCGGCTTTCGGTATTAGCAGAGACGCACGGAAATTTCAACTGGAGCTTAAGTTAACATATTTTTGTATATCAAATTATCAATATATCCAACTATTTTACGATCCCCCTTGAATTCTACATATCCGGGTTCGACTGTAGTTCTCAAACTTTGTCATCTAGTTTGGACTACTCGCGCTACATTTAGGCAGAGGCAGAGCATTCGGCGATGTGTCGTTTATTTTTGCAGTGAAAGAAATCTTGTAATTATGTTTTTAGAACACGTTGTACTTCTGCGGACGGGCCTCCCGTGACCATCCAATAACTTCTGTCGTAGTGTTACAACAGTTGAAATGTTTCTCTCTCATTAGCTGCATGTAAACATAATAAGACGCTCGGTAAGCATACTTTCCATTCAGAAGCAGATTCGTCAGACGCATTACCCCTGTACAAGTGGGTATGTAATGCATTCGCGCCGCCTGCTTTATTGATTGCAAACCAAGCCACAGATGCACATGCGTTAACGCTAACCCCAATCTTAAAATTTTGTCGGTTTGTACGTCCTCACATTTCCCGCTAAATTTAGTGGGGAAACTGCATTGGTGTTTAGGTCACGTAACGTCAGTTTGTCACATGACAAATGAGCTATACATCAACTTACCATAAAATCCCGAGAGATGCCCCACCCCCGAAAGGTACCCCACCCCTATTTTTTGGCTTGATTTGCTATTTACTTTTAAACTCCGAAGGATAGCCCACTCCTTGTAATCGTAGCGTTCGGATCAATGATGACCTTGGCGTAAATGCATCTAGTTAGCTTTGGTGGGATATGAGCGAGCATTGCTGACTAGGAAGTACAGTCAACTTTGCTTTGCCCCTCGCCGCGATGACAAGTTTGACAGAGACACATGATCTAAAAATAGCATTCTTTCAACTTTTCTTGATTGCACCCCGAAAGTTAGCCCACTCCTTCTTTTCACCCAATTTTCTCTCGATTTTAGGTGGGCTATCTCTCGGAATTTTACGGTAGTTTTCCCGCTCAACATATTGGGGAATTTGATAAAAGTAAAGGTTCTTCACTATCCGACACGATGGTTTGATGTCTTCTGATTATTTTAAACGATTGCAACTTAAATACTGCAGCATGATAGACTTTAGAGCTGAACGTCACTGCCAATTTTTAACCTTCTCGGATGCAGGGGAGTGCCAGGAGGGAAACGGTGCTAAGGTTCACAGCCCCCTCTTCCTGCGGACTGCCCTGGTGGTCGTGAGCGGCCTCTGGTGGCACCTCCGGTGCCGCCAATGTCTCTAGCCGCACATGCGGCGTCCTCAGCCTCCTAGGCACAGACTCGGCGGCAAGACTCGGCCACCTTCCGGTGCAACGTGCCTCCGTCGGTGCTCCGTGCGGACTCCGAGTGACTCCGGAGCAGTGGTGCATAAGACTGCGGTGTACCGCGTAGCGTAGTGCGTGCCGTGCGTGATGCACGCGGGTACTCTACAAGAAGATCGGCGAGGGCGACGCCATTTTGACAGATGTGGGAGCGGTTGTCTCTGCGGCCGACTTCGGAGGGAGTTTGCGAGGAAGTGTGCTTGTTCCCTTTTTTCTCTTTTGGTTGCGAGGACCATTGCGTTGCGTGGCAGCCTCCGTCGCTTCTCTGGAAGGGGTGGTGAACACTCGGGGCGGAAGGACACCTCCTGCTTGGCAAGACGGTTTTGGTTGGAATTAAGGTCTGTTCACACATACACCTTGGCACTTATTAGTCTGGGGTGGAAATAGTGCTGGCCTTCCAGACGCAATGCTGTATAAATGCAATATTGGAGATACAGTGCCGATAGAGCGCTTCATCGCTGCCAAGTTGCATTTGAGTCGGCTAATATAGCACAATGGGTCATGCGTGCGGTGCGTTTTACAGCATGCAAACTAACGCTTTTAAAGTACTGTAGATGGCCCGCCAAAACTTATTTTTCAATGTATCGTGCTGCGATTTACTACAGAGGTGCAAGCAGGTGGCGAAAGTTTAGTGAAAAAAAATAAAAAAATATCAGGAAATAAACTTGCCTCGTTCAAATAAAAATAATTTAAAAAAAAACCTGTTCTGGACATTTTACACTGCCACTTTGCAGACAATGCACGCATAGCAAGAAGTGCTGCCGACAGATGGCGTACGACGCTTCAAGGGAGCACAGGCCTATTCGGGCTCTTTTGCAGGTTTGTATGCTATCACAACCCGAATTGGCCGGCACTCCCTCCCACTACGTACGCCATCTGTCGGCAGCACTTCTCGCTATGCGTGCATCGTCTGCAAAGTGGCGCCGTAAATTGCCCAAAACAGGTTTTTTCTTTTTTTTTTTGAACGAAATAAATTCATTTCTTGATTTTTTCACCGTAAACTTACACCACCTGTTTGCACCTCTGTAGTAAATTTCTGCACAATACGTTGAGAAATGGATTTTTGCAGGCAGTCTACAGTACCTCAAAAGCATTCGTTTACACACTGTACAGGTGCCCTAATTAACACGCGTGACGGAATCAAGCAGGACCGAGACATTGGCGCCTGCTGCAATTGGACACCTCTGCACCACTGACCAATCGCAGCGGGCAGCGATGTCCCTCTTGGTTCCCGCGTGTAAAAGAATTTTCGGGAAGCCAAATGCCCGGGCTCCACCACTCCTTCCGGAAAAGCCATGTTTCCTAGGTTGTGTTGCTTGAGGGACAACGGTCGTCTTCCACGTAGAGACCACTGGAAGACAATGCAGTATTACCTTTCGGTTGAGTTTCTTTTAGTCATGCGAGCTTTAAGTTGGGTCTGCCACCGTGTTCAGCGGTTTTTCCGTTTACGCCGATTCTTTGTAGGGGGCGTGCAAATTGTCACTACAGATATCAATATCGAATGGCGATAAACGAGTTGCGACGTCGGTCAGGTGCAGTGTGATGTGGACAGAACAGCTAGTACCGAATGCGATGGGCGGGAAACAAAACAGCCCTGTCGAGTGCAAAGCGCTTTACAGTATTGCAAATGCAAAATCAAGTGTTCTCCACACGGCTCGTGCACGACGTCACGGTGGCGGTCGTCCCTACTCATTTTTGCCGAGAGAGACAAATTTGATGGCGCGGAATATATGCTCCTGAAGGTATGCACTCAGCGGCAAGGCCACCGCTATGGCTGCCGATGTCACATCAGCGTAAACCATGCATGGATCGTATATTGCGAAGTCCTAAATTGAAAGGTTTAGATAGAACTAAAGTCTCACATTTCAGACTCTCAAATGCCCATCAAATATAAAAAAAAACAAAAAAACAGAGCACATTGTGCAAGTGTTGGACAAGATGTTTGGAACAAAACACTCCAATCAGAAACCTAGGGTGAAATGGAAACCAAAGTCGGTGAGCTTTTTGCATGCTCCACACAGTTTCATAACGAGGCAGCTTCTTAACGTTGTATTAGGAGGCAGCTTTTTCTTTTCTTTTCCTGCAGCATGTCTCGCTGGCAGGCTTTGTGAATGAAGGCAGCTCGAAGAGCAGTGCTACAGCGTATAGCCAAAGGGGAGGGTCGTCGGCGGGCAGTGCTCAAAAGGGGGCGTGGCACCCGGGAGTCGGCGCAGAGGCCAAAGGTCCCAGCGCCAAACGTTTGCGGCGAGCGAAACTCTCGGAGGCGGCAGAGCTGCTCCTCGGTTTCTATGCACACTGGCACAATCAGTTGCTTCGTTCTACGCACGTTTCTTGTCACTCGCGGGGAGAGCCCGTCAACAGGATGCGCGCTACGACATTCCGAACAAAAACTTGCATCAGTCGTGCGTGGGTGTACAATTTTTTTTTTTTTTTTTCACTGCTTTGCCAAAAAAGTTTTGGTTAAGCTCTTCTTTGGGGTTTTATTCGAAAGTTTAAAGCTGCGGTCCCACTGCTGGCATACATCCAATAAAAGACAGTCGTACAAATATAAAAGACGTCTGCAGACAAGTTTGGCGTATGTATAAAGCAAACATCCTTCGTCATGCGTCTGCAGCAAACACCATGTCTCTCGTTTGATGTATGAGCAGTGGGATGGTCGCGAGAGCGGGCTTGTCTTTTGGTAGTTTCCTTGTAACCAGACATTAGACTGGGGATTACCGGAAAGAGAGTTTGGTGGCGATGGCGTAGAAGCAGGCACGATCGGAACACAGAAAATGGAAAACAAATTTTCGCTTTACCGAAACTTCCAGTGTCGGGGCACAAGGTCGCTTGCCCAGGACGCTGCCGCGAATCGGGGCAGGCACGCCGGGGCAACCCTCTAGGCGGTCCCCCGACCGCGGGAGTTTCGGAGCAACCTTTGCGGAGAGTGCTCAAGCCTAAAGACTGTTTTGTAAATTATTTTGCACCGTTTCCACTTTTGAAAATCCTTTTAGCCAACAATTTGGTTGGAGTCGTTAAAAAAAGCTACGCTTCGACACTCCATTTCTCAATTCCCTCGCAGGAGCCGCCTTCTTGGTGCCTAGTCCGGGGCAGGCACAATAGACCCTTTTCGAAATGATGCATAGGTTATGTGCAGCCGCCATTAGTTGGTCATGCGCTCTGAGCACACGTTCGTCACAAGCCACTTCGTCAGCATGCATTCGACACGAGTGCTGTGTCAGTGCTCGGCGCGAACTCTGAACCAATCATGGGCTGAAGCGATGAAACCAACTAATGGCAGCTGCACATAATCTATACATAATTTCACAATTTCGGGAAGGGCCTAGTGGCGTTCGTTAGGATTCGTAAATGCGACTTCCCGAGCTTTACATATGATGTCGGACAAAGAATGTGACTAATCTAAAGCACTAATTGGAATCTATGTTAGGCGAAGCTCTCCCTTTCTAACTCAGGTTACGTTTAGGTTTCATCTGCGTTAGGCATGCAATGCACCGACTTATGCACTATAGTGCGCAAGTGGGTACATTAATATAATGTATTCAGCGCATTAGCATAATCTATTTTGAGCATTAACATGATCTATTTGAAGCATTAACATAATCTATTCGGGTGACAGCCACAGTCAGCGAGGTCCAGGGGGAGGGGTTCACAAAGAAAGCTTCCCTTTAAAAGGCGTTTTTTGCGATTTTGGACAAGGCTTCCAATAATTGGCAACCACGATTTTAAGCGCCAAGATAGCTGAAGTGTAGTTACTCAGAAGCACAGCTTAATTAGTGGATCTGGGTTTTGTCTCGCACATTCGTGAACCGACGTCTGCGTTCTACGCCCACGCTACAAGATCGGAAGCCAGAACATTCACTATAATCTCGTCTTATTCCGGGTGCAAGAGCGGTTCGCTTCCTCTCACGATTGGGACACGGGCCGATCGGGCCCCCGACGACGCAGCTTGAGCAAGCGGAGCGGCTCCGGCAGCCCCCCGGCCGCGAGCGCAGGCCCGCAATAAGTGCCGCTCTCCGCCGTCCGGGAGGGTTGCCACGCATGGCGGCTGGAAGCGTTTCCGACGGGGAGGGATAGGCTGACTGTCTTCGTCTTTCCCTCGGTGTTTTGTACTTCTCAGGTGCCTTGGACGTGTGACCTAGACACGCCTTTCTCCGTAGGCTGTGCAAGTCGGACAGGACGGTTGTTTTCAATAAAGGTCGATGGACTGGACCCGTCGTCGCCTGTGCTTCGGATGCTACCCAAAGCCGCAGCCACGCTGCTCCAATGTCACACAAAAGGTGCACGTTGGAGGCACGTCTGCTTTGTGCCTACGCGTGCCTCAAACGTGTCTGCGGCCATTTTTTGTACGACCAACGTGACGGGACTGTCCGACGGCGTCTGCAGACTATTTTGTACGATGAGCTAGCAGTGCGACCGTGGCTCAACGGAGGGCTCTCCTGGTAGATCTGGAGCGACCCAAAAGTGCTCCGCGCATGCACCTCTGGAGCGGTAAATGCCACAGTTGCCGACGAGGTGAGAACGGCTGGGCGTTTTTTTTCTAATGCCCTGCCTCCAGCCTTTAGTCGTGTTCCTTGCCTTTAACCGTGTTTTTGCTGCACATGCAAGCTCCAACTTGCGAGACGCTGAAGCGCTATCGAAGGGGGGAGCTCGCACCGGAGGCGGGACAACCGAAGCTCCTCCCTGCTGTTCTCGTCCCGCGAGCAACTAGAATGCACGCTTGCATGTGCGAGACGACGCCACCGAAAAGCGCTCCGAAACCGCTTCAAATTTGAGGGATGAATTCCCCGTTGGGCCGGGCTTCTGGGAACCCCGAGGTTCCCCTCTGCTCCTCGAATTTCCTTGATTGTGGCTGCCCTCGAGTAAAATGTCTCCAGTTTAAGCCACGTTTTGGCAGATATTCCTTGGGTACGTAACTACGGACAGAAGAATCCCCTGTATCTATGTGCGTTATTGTCGACAAGGTCTGTAGGCTCCTGTACCGCCTCGTTGCACATAGTACATTTCCTCGTCTATCTATCCAGGGGGACAAGCATTCTTTGAGACCGAAGAATGGTCGGATAATCCTTGCCTTAGAGTATGTGGAGATTTTGGGTCAAGATGAAACCTCGGGATCGACCTAGGGTAGCCTTTTCTACCGAGTGCAGAAGTCTAAAAACATGAAATTCTTAGCGCATATGCAACAACTAATTGGCAGCCCTAGCGAAGTTAATTAGTTTCTGGTTCACGTATCCCGTGCGTTTCATTAAATGTGGTCGGCACTAGCAAAAAATGGGTGACACGTTTTATCGATGGGCTCACGGTTTAACTACGGCCGCTGTACTACACATGCTCCTGGAGGGAACAGTGTAGCACCATTATTTATTTGTCGAGCCTGGCAAGAAAGTAAGAGCAGTAATTTTCGGAGTGGTTGGTGCTGGGTCACCTCGTTGCCTCCGCCACGAAAAGGTCCCAGAGCCCGACACCGTAATGGCAGACGTATGGCAAGGGTGGATTTATAAATCAGGCTTTGAAGGGGGGGGGGGGGATTTGATTTGAGGGAGGGGAGCTCTGCAAGGAGATGTAAATGTCACAGACGGATGATGCTACAGACGAAAATAATTGCCATTTCAACAAGGACGAAGCATTTTATGCCTTTTTTTTCTATTAAAAAACCTTTCATCATTATTAAAGTAGGCAGAAAAAATGAAAGCCGTTTACAACTCCATGTAACGCCGGATTAGAGCGCAGCTCTTGAGGAGGAGGAGGAGGGGAAGGGTACTGAGGGGATGGTATATCCTTCCTCCCTCCTCCTCATCCTGTCTGCTAGTCCTCCCTCTGAACAGCGTCGCCGTCGTCTCACGAGGGTCACGTGACGTCACCGGGGTCACGTGACTTCATAGGGGGTCACTTTACCCCTATGAGGTCACGTGACGATGACATCATGAGTGACGACGATGACGATGCGGATGTCGTCATCAGGGACGATGCAGATGCTGATGACGTCATCAGGGACGATGACTATGCGGATGCCGATGACATCATCAGTGACGTCATCACTGACGATGCCGATGCCATCACTGATGACGTCATCGGCAATGTCACGCGTCCTATAATGCACCGCGCGGTTACGCCGACGGCGGCGCCGCTCAAGCTGGAAACGGGCGCCTAAGAGCTGCGCTCTAAAAAGGTCGCTCCAGGGGACTGAAGGGGGGGGGGGGGGGGTAGTTGCCCCCTCTGCTTTCCCCCCTTTAAAGGGATACTTCAACGAAATTTGAAATATTCCCGTCGTGTTCAAAAATGGGTTGAATATGGTCCATAGTATCCGTAAATGACAATTGCACGTTTGTATTTGGAGCCTGGTGGCTGTATTTTTCGTTATAAACGGCCCACTCTGGCAAGTGCTCGGAGAAGGCCCAGCGGAGACCACGTGACATCCAACGCAATCGTGACATAGGTCGTCTCAGGACGAGCAAAGCTACGGCGAGGCTGACGTCGAGAGGATGGCCTAGTCGTTCCAGCCACCAAAGCGGCTGCTTTTGTACGAATTTTGAGTGACGGGATAATCTTCTGTAATCTTGTAGGGGGACAATAGCGACTTCTGCGACACACAAAAGGTATTCTCGGAAAGAGGAGTTCCTCCTGCCCCTCTTCTCTCGTCATGGCCGGAGGCGAGACAACTTCCGTCACTAGCTGTCAAGGTTCCTAGACGGGCATTACAAGCGAGGCGTTAGCGACATCCATCAGGTGCTTCTTGCTAATCGTTTAATTTGTTTTCAAAATTCCTTTTCGTGACTTTTTTAACAAGATATTGGTATGCTCGATGTGATGCTGCTCCTTTGAACACATATAGACCAAAAAATGAGCGCCGAAATTTCGTTGTATTATCCCTTTAAATCTACCACTGTCGTACGACGTCGACAAGACGCCTAAGGACTGCTGGACTGAATGTGGAAGGTGGCCTTCACACTTTTCGCAACCATTACTACGTAAAGTTGGCAGACCAATGGCACTTCACAAAACTTTTCGAGGGGTGGGGAGAGGGTCAGTATACGTCTCTATCGGACTGATGTGTGCTTGGTACTAGAAAGGGCACGCATGATTAGTGAACGGATTTTTCATATTTTTTAGCGACTGAGCGCACTAAAGCGTGACTGCATTCGCTGTTCGGCGTATGATCCACATGGTCGCTACTGCTCAGTTCATTTACACAGGTGGGCTTGTTAGAAGCCCGGGAACTAATGGCAATATTTTATAAAGCACGTACATGATGTTAAAACAGTTCTCGTATCGTACGATCCAACTTTTTTTTCTTTTTCATTTTGCGCGCATGTTAAGGCGGCGTTGTAAATTTTACGGTGTTTTCCGACAAGTGGCGCTCTGGCTAGCATTGTTGTGCCCCCTACGGGAGTGTGCACAATAGCTAGGGCTTTCCAGCGACAAGTGCCGGAGCGGGGTGTACACTTTATATCGCGTGCCAACGCAAAGGGACTGCACTGACTGCTCGAGACATTCCACACCCATTTCCCACCAGAGAATCTCGGAAGTCCGTACAATCTGAAAGGGTGCTACGGAGAGAGTCTGCACTCCTTCGATACACCCGTCCTAGACGTTTTCTCGTCTCGCAAAGAAACGTGTCTTGCAGGAACTCGTCTATGGAAGGAGCCACGCAAGTGGTTGGCAAGCGGCCAAGGTGTCTTTCCGGGTCCTTTCGAACGCAAGGTCGAACTACCGTCAGTCTAGTTTTAGCGTACAAGTTGAGCCGCCCCCACAAGTCCCGGTCGGACTCCCGCCCATTGCCCCCCGTTCGGAGGTTTCCAAGCGGTGCAAGAATGGTGTCTCCGAATGGTGCGTTTGGCGTCCCTAGTGCCCACGAAAAGGAGATGGTCCCAAAGCGACGATAAACGACTTCGCAGGAGCAGGCGTGTTACACTGGAGAGCCTAGATTGTAGATTGGAAAGAGGTGCCATCGCGGGCCACGGCGAGTGCTCGCAATTTAATTGCGGAGGCCTCCTGAGGAGACCGGTCGCCAGTGCCCACGCGCCGCATTTCCTCGTGGTGAGGAGGAAAGCAGGCAGAGATGTTCACGGACCCTTAACGTTTTTGGCACCTCCTCGCAGCTCGTACCGAAAACGTGGCCCATAAGCCAAGCGACCTCGATCGAGCAGTTGGAAACTCTGTAATACAGGCTCTCTACCTCACGACCACGACGGTTGGTCGTGGAAGTTCCGGTAAAAGGCGCGAGCAAATGCAAGCGTTGCCTTTGTTGCGGCGTTGCAACTCCTAGCCGCTGGAGCTTCCACGGACTGTCAAACTGGACAGCGACCCACGGCAGAACAGTCGTCTGACGCGTCCACCTCCGTCACCACCAGGTTCGCGGCAGGCAACAATGCGACCTGGCCGGATATGAATCGAGGGACCAAGTTCAAGGATGCTGTAAACGCACCCCATGGAGAAGCGTTCCAGGCACCATAGTGCAAGACTCCAAATTACACTTTCCGACGGGCTCGCTGCGACAAACGGCGACTTGCACTCTCGCACTCTGCAACCTTCGCTGGAAGACGTGCGCCAGGTCAAATGGCGACTCCCTTAAAGCCCGACTTGCAAAAATAAATTCTTTCCGGCGGAAGATTTCTCTCCTTTATTTCGAGCATAGTTGTAAACCCAAGACTGGGGATAAGGACAACGGACGAAACCACAGATGACACAGGCGAAGACCCAAACGCAGCTACAAGGAAGGGTAAAAACACAGGCGAGCTGGTGAAGAACTTCCATAGTATCCGGAGACATGGAACGATAAAAAAACAAGTCTCAATTAAGACTTGTTGTTTTCTTTTTTTATCGTTCCGTGTCTCCAGTTATTATGGCAGCTACAAACTTTATTTCACAGGACAAACATACAAGTCACCCCACCAGTGGTCTCCCTCTTTTCCTCTTCCTTTTCCCAAACCCCCTTACCCCTTCTCTCTTCCTTTTCCCAGGCCCCCGTACATTCCAGTCAATGATAAGCTCACACGACGAATGCACACAGAATTGCATGTCAAGAAATACTGCAACACAACTGGGGCCACCCTGGGTTTCCCAAACCAGTCAGCAGGAGAAATCTTCCGGCCTCCGTACTTAGGTGCACAGACGCCTGACTAATGCACTTGTCAGACGCCTTAATCCTCATGGTCTCTTTCACTAATCTTTTCATGTCGTTGCTTTCCCTTTCTAAAATCTTCCCGTTTCCCCAGGCCGGAGAGCAGTCTGCGCATTCATTCAGGTAAAGTTGGATTGAGTGCATTGGTAATAGATTCAAAAATACGAAAGAATTAGACAAAGAGGATGGACAGGACAAACATCTTTTGACTTTCAACACAATGTGTCGAAAGTCAAAAGATGTTAGTCCTGTCAGTCCTCTTTGTCTAACTCTTTTGTATTTTTGAATCATTCAGGTGTTTGGCTATTTCCAAATTCGGATCTCCATTTTTTTTACACACCTCCTTTCACACATCTTTTGGTCTGGTTTGCGTAACTGACACCACACTCCATCGATATTGCGGACACCACACCGAACTCGCATTGTGTCGACTTTTCCCTGTGCACACTTTTACATCGGTTTGGTGTTCTCAAAAACCAGTCCAACCTAGGTCGGTGCCAAACTTCTTTTCGCGCATAGTGTTAGAGAGTGTTTAAAATAGCATGCGAGAAGAATAGCTGCTTGGCTTTCTTCAGTTGTAGTTTACACTCTGTTCAGTCTAAAGCGGTGGGAGCTACGTGCTGGCTGGACCATTCAACCGCTTCCTCTCGTCGCCCGACCCCGCTCTCCGAGCCTAGGTATGGGCAGGGGGCCCGGAGTAACCACATGGAGAATATAAACGTATGTATGACTGGTCCGTCGAGCACGTAGCATCCGCGGCACTGTCAGTACTTCAAGTAAGAGGGTTAGAGTGAAGGGTAGCGTCAAGTAGGGGGGGAAGTGGGGAAGAAAGAGGGTGCGGCTTCTGCATTTCTTTCCGTGATTACTAACAGGCTGCTAGACTAATCTTTTCTAATCCCTTACGGCAATGAAAAATGGATGGGTTCTCTCGCTTTCCCCTTGCAGGAAGAACGGCGAGGAGAGTAAGGTTCCTCCTTTCTGCTTGTTGGTTGGCCTTTAAAGGGCCCCTGAAAAGAAAACAAAATGTTCTTTTTTAACAGTCTGGTTGGGACATGTGTGTCAAGAAATAAATTTTACAAAAAAAAAGATATTTAGAGCAATATTGGCAGCGCGAAACGCAATGTGGTCGGTAGTTACCTCCTCCTCTCCACTTGTTTTCTCTCTCGGCATTTTGGGCGTGTGGAGGAGAGGTGGGTCGGCTTTGCCTTCACGTTAAAGTGGAAAGAGCAAATGACTATTCCGTGACGTCATGGACTTTGTGCGCAGAATTTCAAATAAATCTCTCGCCGTCAATATTGCTCTAAAAATTTTTTTTTCGTGTAAAATTTTGTTTTTTGAAATGCGTGTCCCAATCAGATTGTCTAAAACAAATCTTTTTTTCTTTTCAGAGGCCCTTTAAGGTTGGCTCATACACTTGCGACTACTAAAGACCAAATGCATTAAGACTTCTTAGGATCTTTACAACGAGAGAGCACGCCAGCGCCATCTGACGGGCAGCCGTGGAACACTCGCAATTTCCGTACGTTTCCTACTCGTTTCTGGCGTAATTTTTTCTTGACTGGATCGAAAATCTTTTGAGAATGCTATACACTACCATTTCCCGTAGATAGTATGTCCACTTGATCTCGCAAATGCCGCAAAACCTTCTCCTTGGGGAAATGCAGTTCCAGCATCGCCTTTACACATGGTGGCCAGCATGTTCTCTCGCCGCAGGAGACTGGAAGAACTTGGTCGTAGGCAAACAATAGCGTGGGAACGGGCCTTTAGAGACAAGAAAATGGCTTTGCTTCCCCCGCACATCCGGCACACCTGACCGATATTGAAGAACCACTGCAGCCCTTAAATCTTCACTGCGCGAGAGACCACCAGCAGGAAGCGGCACGGCAGCGACGGCCAGTGCTCGACAACAAATTCAGACTGACGCAGCCATTTCTCCGTGTTCTCAGCAAATAAATAAGTGAGTGGGGTGCTCCGGAAATCTTGTTTCAGAAGAGCCTGCGTTTCGAGGTGGGGGATGGCCGGGGGGCCACGGCGGGAGGGCTCCGGGGCGGCCCCAGAACCAAAGTCCCGCTGGGGCCGAGGGGGGACAGGGAGGGACTGCCCAGCTTCACCCTCTTCCTGTATGAGACTGCGGGACGAGAAATCAGTCGAGGACGCCGCACTTTTCCAGAAACGCCGGGAGAAATTCCCGAAGCAACCAAAGCCACCATCATTGTAATTCGTTTTGCCGTGACTCGGCAAGGAGCGAACACTATGGTCCCCTCGAGCCATTCGCTGCTTCGGAGGGAGTCACATTATTTAGGGCAGTACCGTCAAAGTCACTAGCGGCAGAGAAAGGGCCGGGAAGCCACTTTTGTACGAATTTTGAGTGATTCTTCTATGGGGAGACTGGCGACGTCTGGGACACACAAAAGAGAGTCCGAATAAGAGGGGAGTTTCTTCTTCCCCTCTTCTACAACTGCTTGGGTTATGCTGTCACCCCTGTACTTTTGGCAAGGGCTCTCACACGCTTCGCCTTTATCACCGATCGGCCCGAAGAAGCTGTGGCATTTCTTTTGCCAAATTATGGTGGAACAAAGTAGAGCACCCATTACATACCCAAGACAAGGAATGATGACGAAACCGCCACAACAGTCAAGGTCTCGCACTTAAAGGGCAACTCCGCTCAATTCTGAAGATTTCGGGATAATTAGCAATTTTGCATTAAAAAGCTCTAGTAAAACACGCAACGTCATTTGCTTCGCAAAAAGTGGGATATATATTTTTAAATCTAATTTTAAACACAAGCAAAAATTTAAACTGAAACTGCAACTCCATCCCACAACATTGGCCGCGGGCTGCGAGATTTCACGTAATCCTCTACACAACAATGGGCGGGATTGGCGCGGGTATGTGCCAGGCACAAGTGTCGTCTGCACCGCACTCCACCTTGTTTTGTTGTCTACGACATTCGACGACGTGTGCACAACTGCGGCATTAGTCTGCGCATGTAGTGTTTGTAGTGTGGACGAAACTCTGAGAAAATAATCACAAATGGTGAGACGATGACGGCGATTGTGACGCGTTAGACGGCGGGACCACAGCGGGGCAACCGGATGGCTCCAAAGAAGCAAGCTGCACAAGCGCAATACGCCTACCACATGAACACCACTGAGCGCCAATACCAACGATCAGTGGCCGGTGCCGACTGGAGACGTTGCTGATGTCATCCGTTACGCTTGCCCGGAGAAGTGAAAGCAAGCAAAAGGGGTCAATGGTGATGACGCTTAGCTCAACGTTGGCTATGCCCATGCCATAGCCTTGACTGCGCTGTTGGTTGCCCCTGAATTCGCCCGCTCGAGTCGACCAATTTCGTCAACTTGGCGAGTAGCAAAGTTTGCCGGACCGTTTAAGAAACATTTATAGACAGAAGTACATTGTAATATTTGACATGCGGTCTTCCTAAGTGATACTGAAGAGGACTGAATTGTTTTTACACTGGAGCTGTTAAGGGCTAGGTTCCCCAGGATCGTGGCCGGTATGTCGACACAAACCTTCCTGGACAGCAAACGCCATCTATAAGCGACGGCGGCAAGCACACAACCAATCTGGTTGCCGCCGTCGTTCGTAGATGGTGGCAACCTTTCCAGCTATCATAGAAGAATGGATAGTTAGGCGCGTTGGTGGGAATTCATCGTAGGAAACAGTGCGAAAAACAGCCGACGATGAAGAAGAAGCACACGTAACAAGCGCAGCGCTCGTCGAGTGTGTTTCTTCTTCGTCCTCGTCTGTTTCGCGCGCTGTTTCCTACGCTCTTATCAGTTTCGGTTTGGTCTCAGGTTGGGTCAACCGCGCGCCCTTTCGGGGAAAGAAGACTGGCTGCGGAAGGAGCAGCGATGTACGCAGCAGCGCGAATGGGTCCGCAACCACCGCAATGCCGCTGTCACCTCAACTTGCACTGCGTCCAGCGCTTCAGATTCCCTTGCCAAAGAAGAGCGCATCGCTCGCCTGGAAAGCCTCCGCCGAAAATAGAACCAGCGATGTAAAGGGCGCCGGCAGGCCAGCGCCATGGACGACGATCATGCCACAGAGGCCAAGCACAAGCACGAGGCCCGGCGACGACTGCACTCCACGCCGGCTGAACAGTTCCCAGAGGGAGTTTGTGGAGAACCCGTTTGGCGTCACGTGCGCCGTGTGCGACCGACTCTGGTTCGCCGGAGACGAATCCACCATCGGCGGCGTGTTGGACAGGAAGAAGCGGGAAACGGGCGCAAGCGTTGCGGCAGTGTATCAAGTACAGCTCCGCTGGTCTTCCTTCTTCACGAGAGTGGAAAGGCTGAACGTTTCTTTTTCAAAAACAAAAAGGAAGTGGAGTTGCCTTTTAAGAAATGTGAGGTTGCCCTTTAAGGAATGACAATGCCAAGCGCCTTGTCAGTGCTCCACAGCCAAAGGGATTGCAGCATTTCCCGAAAAGAATGCGCAAGAATGAGTCCTGAAGCAAGAAGCGTGACCGTAATGATATAGTATATGATGATTGAAACCCGAGACTGTGGTTTGAAAAACGGAAACTCGTGAAGTAGGAAAAAAAAGGGGACAAGCAACTCAGTTAAAAACTTCATTACCTCTACGCCTTATTAGCCCCGAGAAGTTCGCGTGGCGCCCCCTTACGGCGAACCGGGGTGACGTCACGACGAGGAGAGAATTTTTCCCCGACTCGCCCCGGTCGCACTGTGGAGGCTGTGACGACGCCAGCTGTCGGCGCGCTCGTTTCTATTTAATCTTTTTTTGGCGTGTTTTTCGTAGGAAGTGTAAACTTTTATATGTGCCTTTATTCAGGTATGGCCTGTAGCTACAGGCGAAACTTCAACCAACATTTGAAGCATGGTTGACAGGGCAGGCAACGCATGAATCGCAGCTGGTATATGAAGATGAAGAAATATGGCCACAATTGCAGGAGCATCACTATAGATTTACATTTCGCACAATACATGCTGCTGATGGTCTGAATGAATGAGCAGGTTATGTATACTATTTTTTTTTGTATCTCTGTTTTTAAACAAGATCGCCGAAGCAGAAAAGCTGCATGTTGTTCGAGCAACATACTGAATACAGTCCGGGCCATGGGGAGAGAATCACAAGTCCGACAGTCCAATTGCTGGGGCAAAGTAAAAAAACAAGATACATATATAATATACATTGCTCGCATTTGACCTTCGTTGGATTTGGATAGTATTTCAATGGACTACATGGGTGGTATCTGTGAACTTGTTTATATCAAGTATCGAGTAATGTATAACAAACGTAAGCGAAGGTGCAGGTGTCTAGCTTGTTATTGGTCCCTTAAGCCCTAAAATTGAGATTTTACTTAAATTGAATTGTCTTGAAGCTAAAATATCAGAAGCTTTTCTCACGCAGACTGTCGCCCTACACAGGTTTCACATCTTCTGCTACTAGTGCTGCACCTACCACTGGACAGCCGTTCGAATGCTTGCTTTTACTCCTGTTTTTCTCTGCTGTCAGAGAGTCCAGCTGTAGGGAGTGTGGAGGCTAAGGAAGCTTTTGGGGACCTGCAGCAGTGTCTCTTTTAATTGGAAATGACAATTCAGGCCCAACGGTGTATTTTCCGAATACCAAAGGCTAGAATCAAGAATGTCAGGAAAAAGTATAAACATTCCAAATTACGGCACTAATGCCGTGCATATTTTTGGCAGTTCAATACATATCATACAGGCAACTGGGGGCAATTCAGCCGTTTTTGCTGCTACCATACAAACTAATTTCCAGTAATCGTGCATCTTCTAAGTAATATGCCTGCATACGTGTATAAACTATATAATTAATTCACGAAGAAGCTACATTTATGTAAAACAACGCTGTTCAACGAGCGTTTCAAAGATCATCAGACGCAGGGCCTTTAAAACATCTGCGAACCAGCGCATGCAGAGTGGCAGCGCAGAGTCGGGGTCGCGAGCTAATTTGCCGACCACCCAAAGGCCCATGATATAAAAGCCCCTTCAAATGCCTTGAGAGCGGGATTTAATATCGTCCTAAATCATGAGCATGCAAGGAACAGAATTCTAGCGTCTGAAACACTTGCGCCACCGCTTCACCGACCCCTCGCAAGATTGCCGTGTGTCTAGTGGACGGACGAGGAGGTTCATCGGCGGAATTGCCTCCGCCGATAGCTTTCGGGATTTGTAACCCAATTTTAAAGGTAAAAGGGACAAGCAGGCTTTTAAAATGTACGGAAGCACGTCAATATCAGCCTAACTCAACGTCTTGTACACCGGGTAAACGAAGTCCAGCTCCTCGAAGAGCTTGCGGCACAGAACGCCAAACCAGGAAATCGGTACTGGGAAGCGAGCCGATGCGAGATCGCGGAGCGGAGTACTCCCCCTGACGTCACGGTACACCTCACCCAATCAGGGCGCGGCGACCGCAGCGACGCTTGTGTTCGCTCTCGGGGCTAATATACACCTCCCCCAAACGTCGCCACCGCTACAGCGTTGAACATCAAACTACAAACAATACAAACACACCAGAATCACAATACACCAAACAGCAAACAATACATATAAAAAAACAATGTTGTGGCAGTGGCAACGTTTGGGGGAGGAGTACCTATATAAGGCGCAGAGGCAATAAAGTTTTTAGCTGAGTTTGAGAAGTTGCTTGTCCCTTTTTCTTCCTACTTCACGAGTTTATGTTTTTCAAAGCGCATTCTCAGGTTTCAGTCATCATGTATAACCTACACCAGCTCGCCTGCACTTTAACCGTTTTTTCGCTGTAATGAGCCATGCTCGCAAGTTCCTAAGTCGTCGCAAGTCTCTTAAGTTGTCAGTGATTAGGTAGCATCAGAAACAGCTCGACCGGATCTGGGATGTCATTACGCGGGACAAATTTAGAGACGAATTGGTTACTAGCCTTGAGCATTCAATTCTTGAGCGAAAATTTGGGAGATAAAAATCACAATTTCGCCGCCCATTTTGGGATTCGAGGCAGATTTTTCTGTCGAGTGCACCTTGTCTGTGTGTGTGCCATGCCTTCATTTCCTGGAATTAAGCTACACTTCGATGCAAAGCAATAGGGCAATGAAAAAGTATGTGGTATTTCGAAAACAAAACAAAGCATGTGGCTTCGAGTAAGTGCACATAGTACATATACAACTGCTCTTGTAGGGGCAAATATTTTGTGCTTTTGTGCAATTAAATAAAGACTAGTTTGGGTAACCCAGTTTTGGTGGTTTTACGACGAATATGGCAGAGTACCACTTTTACTGCGACTGTATTTACAGCATTTTCTGGTATATAAGTCACATTTTTTACCCGAATTGTTGGTGCGTCTTCTAGAACAGTGCTACTTGTATGCTTTTTTTTTTCTTTCTACACATATGTCTCTTCACTCTACAAATCTGCCGCAAGGGTCATTCATCTCGTTCGATTCGTCGACATGAGTACCGAAATGCACCCGCTAGCGCATATATTGCGATCACGATACACATATGAAGGCTTGTCAATACAGTTCTGCATCAACTGTACAAATATACAAGTGCGACTCATACAAAAATGTGACTCGTACACCTGATAACACGGTACGTGCGAGGAGTGGCGGTATATTTTGTAGCATATGTCTCCCCTAACAGCGGCGCTTCTCGTCGATGAAGGCAGGCAATAAAAACCGCGATAAAGAAAGCGGCCACCTCTGGCACTCACATATGCCGGTCTTGGGAGGGCTGAGCATGAGGCGCTTGTGCCTGCGCTTGCTGGCAGCGTCCTCCATGCAGCCTCGCCATTGGTCGAGGAGGGTGGCCGCCCAGCCAATGGTGGCCGTGGGATGGCCGAGCCAGGGACCCTCCCTGCTGGCACGCAGACCCAGGGAGGAGCACAGGCGACTCACCCCGCCGGGCTGCAGTGGGAGTCAATCACGGGGGACTATGTGAGCTGTCTTCCCACTTTCTCTCGTAGCCGGCACACGGTTACTTTCTACGTGCAACCATCGTAAGATGGTTACAAAGTTTTGTTTTTCGGCGACTTCATAAAATTTGTTTCATTCGACCAAGTATGGTTCATTCATCTAAATATTTTCAATTATTCCCTCTTCAGAGACAATGTACATTGATGAAAGTGCCCGTGATATAAGCACCATTTACTATATACTCTGTTTCCCCATAAGTACAAGCAAAGTCAATGCTACAACCACTAGCAAGTTGTCTCGCATGATGCTTTCACTCCACGAGTCCACGTGCACAGCAGGCCCATTTGAAGCATCGCCATGGTCTTTGATTAAATTGTCTGGAATCTTTTTGTCACACTATGGGTAAGTTTTCCCTAGGCACAAATCGAAGCACTTGAGGCAAGCTGCCGACGTTTGGAGTCAACCAATCGGATCGCTCAAAGAACCTAACAGTTAGATGTGGGTTTGGAGGAGCCAGCATGTAGAAAGCCGCTGGATAGGTCTACTCTTTCATAAAACCCAGCGGAATGGAAACGCCATCAATGCTCAAGAGTTAAGGGTCGTATCATTTCGGAAAGATTGAAACGCCACCTGCCGAAGTTAGAAAAGCTCTTCAAGATTTTTCTTTTTTTCCACTTGTTTTTCCTTAGCCCAGAATGCATTATATGACTGGCACCTAACTTTTCATTGTTTTGCACTCCTGAAACGAAAGAAGAATGCAAGCACCAGCTGAACACAATGCAGCACTCATCTTTTCACAAACAGGACAAGACTGCCAACCGAGCGTCTCACTTGAGTAGACCCAAGTTACTCTCGCGGGTCGCATCACGCGATGAAACAGAGAGCACCATCAGTGACATACACTATTTCTAGCACGCACTAAACGTGCAAGCTCTTTCTGCTCTCTCTCTGAGCGTGCTCTTTCTTTCCTTTCTTCTCTTTTTCACTTTGGTGCACTTTTTAGATGGGGTCGCACACGAGGGAGTGGTGATGCAGCGAGAGTCTTTCATCTTCTCTGTTCCAATATGTGCCGGAGCCACGTGGTGCTGCAGTTGCATCCAGCTCGACGCTACGGCACATTTTGCGTCGAGCTGGATGCAACTGCAGCACTGTCTTCTGCCCATCTATAAAGTTTAAACTTGTCATGCCAGCTCCTGAAGGTGATGAAGGTTTTGGTCTGTTGTAGAAGAAGTGTGCAGAATGCAGACACTGTTGGTACAGACTTTGACGGGGGTGATGACTGGAGTCTGTTCTAACCAGTGAGGCTGATGAAATGACAATGGATATTAGAAAAGAAGTGGTATATTGAAACTTCAAAACTTTGAAAGGTAGCGATTTGTTATTGAGCTGTACCGAAGATTGTCATCACTGCGTGCTCCGAGTCGCATGAGGCTCTGGAGGCACCGAGCGCGATGACACATGTTCGCAAAATGGATGCCGTTGCAACCAAACCAAAGCCATGTGATGTCCGAAACAATGACTGCTGTCGAAGAGTTCGCTATAATGGAATGGTCAACTACTTTAAAGTCATAAACTGCAAAAACAACCACCCAGAAATGTTATGAAAGCCCAAACTTTCGCTTTAAAGGCGACACCGCTCTTGAGCGGCGTTGGAACCAGGGTTGAGTGAAAGTTTGCTCCTCTTTCGATTGACAACCGCACAAAAACTACTTTGACTACCGTATTTATGTTCAAATATAAACCTGCATGTTTTTTTCCTTTCTCGGCGCAGCTTTTTTAAATTGGAGATCAACATAAAATCGAGACCAAAGAGGGTTCACCTGCAATAACAATGAGCATTATTTCTGTGCCTACCAAGCTAGCTTGGGTGCTCCCCCTTGTCAACCGCCACTCCTAGCAATCCGGTGCAAAGCGGTGAAGCTTAACGAGCGTGCGATGGCGAGAGGCGGTGAAGGCCGACACTAGTGGCGCAAATGCCACAGTAGACTAGTCACTGCAGAGAGGTATGTGGCATAGAGCACTGCACAAGCCGGAATTCCTAGGCCCGGCCCGGCCCGGCCCAGTAGAGACACGGCCCGGGCCCGGCCCGAGCCCGACAGCATTTTTAATTTCTAGGCCCGGCCCGACCCGGCCCGGAAGAGACACGGCCCGGGCCCGGCCCGAGCTTGACAGAATTGTTAATTTCTAGGCCCCGTCCGACCAGGCCCGATGGCTGTAGCCCGAAACAACCCATTCCCGTTTGAACCCGTCCTGTTTCGACCCGTTCCCGAAACGAGCTCCCTATTTGAACCCGTCCTGTTTCGACCCATTCTTTAAACACCCTTCCCATATGAACCCGTCCCGTTTCGACCAGTTCCCTAAACGCCCTTCTCGTTTGAATTTGTCCTGTTTCGACCCATTCCCTAAACGCCCTTCTTATTTGAACCAGTTTCCGAAACACCCTTTGCGTTTGAACGCGTCCCGTTTCAACCTACTTTTATAAGGCCCTGCACATCGCAACCTCTTCGCAAAAAGTCTCCATCGTTCTAAGGCTGGTCTGCACACCTTTTCTGTTTAAGAATATGTTCTGAAGTAGCTTTACATGTCAACGCGTTCTTAAAATATACAACCCTTTCAGGCAAGCTTAAGTTTAATATATTCCTCCTTAACCCCTTAAAACGTTTTTTTCAAGATGGTTCCCCAAACGTGCAAGCGCGGAACGGACTATGTACACTGCGCGACACTGATACCGCGAACACGACGTTGGCTCTTTTTTCAAATTTTACTTCGAAATGGTGTTAGTAGGCACCAAAGTATACCGCTTAGGTCTGTGGCCCAGATGAGCACTTGTAAAGACACTAATAGTTTTGAAAACAGCGTTTTGATTCTACGAGATAAACATAAAAACACGACGATCGCTTGTTCACGCTAATATAGTGTCGCGCTCTGTGCAATAAGGGAGTCTTAGAATAATGTACTCAAGCACTTTGGGCAAGCTAAAATTAGCATCGCCATAGGTTTTACATCGCAACGCTATTTTTACGGTACCCAAAGCGCTTTTTGCGTTTTTCTAAATCTTCCTAACAGTGAACTAGATATTTTGAGAGCGATGGATCAGACAGGTTGACAAGCATATGACTGGGACTTTATTTTGTTTACAATTTATAACACAACCCTCGTTCACATGGAAAAAGCTTGAAGGCTTTCTAGCTTCAAGACGTCTTTTAGTTATTATTTTTAACGACGCTGTAGTGAATTTGCACTTCGCTTTTTTTTGTATTCAATGAACCTAAAAGATTAATGAGCAAAATTCTTGCTATCAACAATTTATGATTTATGGCACAAGATTGCCCAGGCACGGCCCGGGCCGGCCCGGGCCGGCCCCGCCCGAGAACTTTTTTGTTCAAGCCCGAGCCTGGCCCGGGCCCGAGAAAATATGTGCTACCCGGCCCGAGCCCGGCCCGAGGGCCAGGCCGGGCTCGGGCTTTCGGGCTGGCCCGGGCCCGTACAGTGCTCTAATGTGGCAGACATGATGATCAAGTGATCTCATCAGAAGTACAAAACCCTGGTTCTATTTTATCACAGTAGCCGCCATCCTACTATTTCGCAAAGTTTTCTCGCAAACACGAAGTGGAGTAGACGTATACAACTAGACTTTGCAACACGAAGTGGAGGAAGTATCCCAGACGACACTGACCAAGTTCCAGTTAAAGTCGGCAATCTGATTGAACAGTCAGTGTTCCCAAGCACACCAGAACCACATTTCTGGCGAGGAAGTATGAAAATGCGCACGTGACGTTTCGGTCTCCTACAATTGACTGGGCCGAGCCAAACTGGAGTTCTGCATTCTCTCGCTCTTGGATTCCAAAAAGAGGTTTGGATTTTGGTGGTCGAAGTTAATCTTTGCACGCTCTACATTGTGAAAAAAAATATGGTTCTGAAACTCCCACTTGCCGTGACGCTTGTGCAGCTCAGGTTGACCTGCCTCAGCTGGGTGAAGCAAGCCAGGGAGACGGCAGACTTGTCCGCAATGCCCGCATTACCTGTCCGGAAAAAGAGGATATAACATGTTTGCTACGAGTCTCGGCATTGGCGCTACTCCGCAATGCATGCCACTCGCCCGACAGAGACCAGAAATGCCGTCCGAGGCAGAGGAGGCAAATAGATGCAAACACTGCCGAGCCTACATTCTCTTAGACTTACGTCCCTCGATATTTGTTAAAAAAACATAGAGGGACTTTACCTAGACTGACCACCAAGAGACCCCTCTCAGTCTCGGAATCGACACAATGAATGAGCGTAGATACCTACAGACCTTGTAAACAATAATGGAGATTATAGCGCATGCGAGTAATATTGCCACGCGCGTCGGTAGCGAGCGTGTGCGGGGCCGAGTGGTTACCGCGCTTGACTGTCACATGGAAGTTCTAGGTTCGATTCCAGTCAGTGGACTGTCCTTTTATTTATTCTTTCAACTTGGCGTTCTCGTAAGTTCAAGAAAATTCTCGCCTGATCGAGTTCCGAATGTTCAACGCACTGAAATTTCTAAGCCGAATATTCCAGAAACCCACGAGGGTACATAAGGGACTCCGCATGGCGACCAGAGTCAGTCTCGCCCCAGCGTTCAACTCTGCTGTTAAGCTGACTCCGACGCCCACGACACTCTGCTGTTATGTTTTGTTCCCTTTTTATTTTGGGCACAAGTTTGCCCCATTAAACGTTTAGTTTCTCCAGTTATCATCGCCTCGTCAACTGTCATTCGTGACAATATTTGCACTTCAATGGGGAGGTTCAGATCTGCTAAAATAATGCTCAACCCTTACGGTCACTTCCGAGATAAGTCACGTAAAAAAGATGATGCGGGCTTGTTGTGCCATGCACGAAGATGTCACCTGCACACGCGAAACTTGTTGGTTAAATTTTAGGCAACAGGTGGAGTGCACATTTCTTCATTTACATAGGGAGGCTCTCGTTAAAGGGCAACTCCGCTTAATTTCAAAAATTTTGAGATAGTGGCCGATTTTGCTTTTTGAAGCACTCAAAAACAATCCACAATCCTTTGTTTTGCGAAAAATAAAATATTTTTCGTGTAATTTTACTCTAGCCATGACCACAAACCGAAACCGAAACGGTGGCAAAGCCGGACAACATTGTATATTCGGCATCACTAAGCATGTACACCCACGTGATATACAAGGGGAAGAAGGAGCTCCCCTCTTAACAGGATCCTCCTTTGTGCCTCCTGGATTAGCCCAGGCGTCGCTATTCTCCTCCCAGAAGATTATAGAAGATTAACCTGTCACTCAAAATTCTTACAAAAGCAGCTTCCCTCTCCTCCTTTTACTTGGTGTTCAAAAGTATGCGATGTAACACAAGCCGCGCTCAACGAGGCGATCGGCTTCTCAGTAGTATCAATAGTCGAGCGCCGGGCCGGCCGAGCGCGTCACTCACGTCTTTCACGGCACTAGCGCCACCCGTGCTCTCCCCAGAAAAAAAAAAAAAAAAAATTGAAAAAAAATAAAAGAAGCTGTACATGTTTGATGACGTCGCGGACGTGCCGGGAGAAGGAATTTGGAGGAAGCGGAAATGCAGCCGGGCAGTGTTGTCTGGCCCGCACGTCTCATCCAAAACCAGCAGATTCGTGCTTGTCAAACTTTGACAGCGATTTTAATGAACTTCTAGGCGGAATCCCGTCGTAATATTTGCCATGGGGGTTTTGTAGATGATAACAAAGAGAACTGTATAGTTTTGCACTACTGGAAAAGAAGCGGAGTTGCCCTTTAAGGTGAGAGCAACTCGAATCCTGGAGAGTGTTTGCAATTTAATGGCGGTGCCTGAGGGAGAGGATTGGGAAAGGATATGCGCCAATGTTGCCTGCTCGAGAGCAGACGCTCGCTCTGTTGCCCCTTGTACCTTTCCTCCTCCCATTAACCATTGCAAGCAACAAACGCCTTGGCATAGCCATTCTCGGTTCCTTCTCGCTCCGGGAGTTGTAGACGTCGAGAGGAGAAAGCAGGGATACTAGACAAGCAGCAATGTCCAAGATGACGGAATTTACCATTTTTCACGTTAAACAAATACTTAACCTATTGGAACAAAACTGGTAGCTATAGAAAAGTAATTATTTATACCTTGCGTAAATTATTCAAGCACCTTAATGGGCTCTTATGACCCAAGCTAGGAAATAAAACAACCCTTTGCCCTGTAGACCCCCAGCAAAATTTAGCAATTAAATGCATTCATATCCCGTGATCCCTGATCTAGCAGTTGCTCCCACCCTAACTAGAGCCTTCCTACATCGACATCGTCGCTTCATCTCGGCAGCAGAGCCACGGTGCATTACTGTGATACGAGCATCCGCTCTTTGACGGACAAAAGAATTTAATAACTTTTGATCAAGTCCGACTCCAATGAAAGCGATAACAATGAAGCAGCTCATCTGAGTGGCTCGTTTATGCGGGACGTCGTGGACGCAATTTTTGAGCGGGCAAACCTTTTCCAGTGCCAGGTACTTGCCGCGTTTACATCGGCAGACCAATCCCATACGCACCAAAGGAAAGACGTGCGTGCACATTAATTTTTTTTCATTTTTGGCTGTCATAAGGTTGCTGGCGCATGCAAGGAAGTGCACCATTGCCGAATTACTAGCATGAAATGTCTACCAAATCAACACCGAAAAAAAAAAAAAAAAAAAGTCAAAAGGGGGTGAAGAGTGGTTGGAAGAAAACCCGGCAGTGAAAGGGGCAAGCTGGCAATGTGCTCCGCTACGGGGCAAAGAAATTTGTTTGCTCGGAGAGCTGATGAAGATGCGCTAGGGTACCCCAAGATTCCTAGGAACGCATTTTAAGAAGCCACTGTGCTACAAGGTACAACATGATGTCGGCATTTAGTCACGTTTCACTCGCACAAGGTTTTAACGAGAACCAGAGTCTACTACTTACACCACTGTAGTTGTTTCAATCACAGCCTGCCGGTTCTGAGATAAAAACTGGCAATCACATGCTCCTGCTAACATTATTGCACTGCGTACCACATACACGCATTGGGGGTACGACGCTTTAAACGGCTGCAAGCCACGTTGAGGTTTCGAAAGAATTTCATTGTTCCGTAGCGTCATTCGTCGGTTCACGTAATCTTTGTCACCCTGTTTGCGCTTTCATTGCTGCTGTGCTATTGCTGTTGTCCATAATGGATGCCTAAACTGCGACATGTGTATTGCCTTTTGAATCAACGAACAACTAGAGGAGAGCTTTCTCTTATAAAGATAAGTTGGTCGACCGAGTGACTACCGAGCGAAGCACCCACCGGAGAGGTCCAACTCCCTGAGGAGCAGGGGTCCCCGTCCCAGCATACGGCAGGGCAGCGTCAGCCGCCGCACCCCCACGTCCGTCAGACCATTCTCCCTTAGGTTCAGCGTCTGCAGGCTGGTACCGGAGAGGACAGCCACATTAAAATCCATACACGCGTACACCACAGCATGACTTTGGCTCCATCAGTCCGTGCTGAAAATAGTGCTGACCTTGCTGATGCCAATTTTGTGCCATAATGCACTCCATATGCCCCCAAGCTGACAGTGCAGTGCAAGCCACACGCTCGGGTGTCCAGTCGTGCGCTTATCTTTCGCCACCAGATCACGCTCTCTCCTCACCCACCCGCAGAAATTGGGGTGAGATGAAAGAAAGGTGTTTGGTTCGGTGGGCGCGTAGCTCCCACCTCAGTGGCGGCTTAGGGTTTAAAGGAGTGCAGTGATGAAGACCTAATAGTAATGCACCATTGCTAAGTTACGTTCAGGTCAGCCGCTCCTAGAGCCGATTTATCACTGCGATGTGCAGTCTCCCACAATATAAAGAACCCTTTTATCGGTCTTTTATATTATGACCTTTTTATAAAAGACTCGAAACGGACGAGCAACTCTGAGTCATTTGAAGCGGCAGCAGCCAATCAGGGATGCGATATTTTCACGCAACACCCCCGTGGTGGTGATGATGACATCTAAAGACTTGGTTCTAGTTTGAAATAGGTAGTTTTTGGAAATGAACCTTTTCAGAAAGAGGAGTAAGTATTCTCAACGTCACTCAAAGATATAAAAACATGTTTTTAGCACGTAGCTAGGTGTCTAAATAGTACAAGAAAATTCAAAGTGAATGATGATGATAGCAAGTCATAGCAATTCGGTTGCTGCGTGTGAACGCGGACGGCCCGTTGTTGCCACATCAAGTTGCTGGGTGCAATTGCTCTGTCTGAAGCGGGCCTTATGAAGCATATCCGTTTAAGGCATTGGGCGTGTTCGGTAGGGGCTACGGGAGTCGAAGAACTTGCGCTCCTTCTACTGGACGACAAAAAGCGACTTCCGGTGCACGTTGCTCCGGAGTAAACGAATGCCGCTCTCGTGCACCGAGTCGTGAGGCAGTGGGCGATAAGTGAAAGGAGCACGGTACGACGTATTTCCGAATCGCTGTTGAAGTTCTGGTGCTGAGAGGTAAAAACAAACGAAGTGGCTTGATAATCTGCGTCGGCTGCGGCGTGGGTCTGCAGTTTCCTTGCTTTTGTTAATGAAACGTGCTCAAGGTAAAACAAATAATGTGGTCGAACTTCGTTTCCAGCTCATGCTCTTTTCAAAATTGCTCTGGAGCAAAATTTCGTTTGTTTTGGCCATGCTAATAAACCATGTAAACATTCATTTGATGCCGTGCTCCGATCGATGCGTAGCAGGGAAACTTGGTAATTATCGACAATACTCCTGTCCGTGCTGAACAGAGTGAGGCAGGGTGGGAATGCGACTGGTGCACGGTTGGACACTCACACAGAGCATGATCCCAATTAATGTTTTGTTTGAGTACCTAAATCAAGGTGTATACGAGAGATGGCCGACGCTCGCTTCAGCCGACAAAACCTCAATCGCCAAGCGCGGCCTCCTTCCCGTGTGTATATGAATACACTTTATAGCAAGTTCGTAAAGAAGTGTAGAACAAATGTATGACCATACAAAAGTATCGTATCCGGTGGCGTAGATTCGCCAAGCTCCATATTTTGCGCGTGTTGACGATGTCTTTGTCAGTTTTTATAACAGTAGCACCCTTTGCACCACACTGTGAAGGGTTCGACTGCTTTCGATCGCTTTGAACAGCGGCGCTGGTGTCTACAGTCACTCGCTTTTTCTCTAACGACCTTGTCGAGACTTTTTCAATACCGGCGTCAAACAAAAGAGCGATCGTGCTCGGCGTCGTCTGCTTCCCTTTTAGTCGCTGCCATGGGGGAGGAAGCGGAAGCCGCGTAGAAGCAGCTAAAGAGCCACACTTTTTTTGTCGTTCAGAAGGTGCTCCAAGAACTCGGAGTCGAGTTACTTCGTTAGGAGCTGAGAGAGCTGCTACTGAACGCGCCATTACAACCTATATTCTGTTGCAACTCATGAACGTCGGGCAAGGGAAAGGAAGGCTAGAGAGGAGGAAGCAGAGGGGACGCTGGAGAGAGGAGGTTTTCCCCTCTCCAGCGTTCCGTCTGCTTCTTCCTTTCCCTCGCCTTACCTTCTTGAGCTGTAACATATTGTAGACGGCACGGCCAGTGCCTTCCCCCCCCCTCCCCCAAACGTCATCAATAGCGTATCCACGCAACGGCGTCTAGCTTGTGTCAGCGTCGCCTCCAGGGCGTCTCGTAGCGTCTCACAACAAGCGGTACACTAGCATGCGGCGGCGCCAAGACGCACGCGCCTGCCGCTTTGCGTCGTACTCTCGTCGAGCTTCAGCTTGCTTTCCGCTAGGGGCGAGTCGGAGGTCCATTAGCGATGACGTAACGTGCAGGCCTCGAGCGCTCACGAGACGAACTGGGCGATGGCGGCGACCATCTCGTGGCCGTCGCCCAGGTGGCAGCAGCCGAGGTCCAGGTGGACCAGGTGCCTGGACAGCGTCACGATGGGCTCCGTGTACTCGTTGATGACGAGCAGGCAGTCGCGCAGGCACAGGGAACGGAGCACGGCGCCGTGGTACACCGACGCGAAGAGCTCGAGGCAGCGGTCTGCCCGCGCGGGCTCCTCGAACGCTCGCCTCCGGAGGGCGCACACGAAGATCTGCTCGCCGATCAGCTCGGGGATGTTCGCCAGAGACTCGACCGACATCAGGTGGTCAGCGACGAAGGTCAGGACCCGCTGGAACAGCGACTGCTCAACCGCGCACATGAGGAAACATCGGCAAGTTGCGCACGTTCAATTTTGCCAGACCAAAAGTGGAACCTGCTAGATGGATGGACGAAGACTAGTGTATTTTTCAACGTTGGTCTTTTTTGCATGTGTTTTGCAGGTTTTGCATCAACATACGCAATGGACAAATGCATTAAACTAAACCCTTTAACTCGGGCGAAAGCTTGCGCCACCTAGGAAGACTTTTTCATACCAACAGTATTTTAGTAGATAGCTGACTGGCTCATAGAGGGCGCTCCTGCATGCGTTAGTTTTGACTTTTTTTATGAATGTGGTTTCGATTTCAGCGAGCGACCTGCGTTGGGAGTTTTATGTCGTATTCGCTGAACGTTGAGGTACAAATGCTTCCTTTATTGAAAAAAATAAATACAACATGCAACCTGGTTTGTGGACATTTTTATTGGCATGGGTTCTGCAGCGCCCCTCTGTACTGCAGATATTGGCTCTCTCCAAAGGGTCCACCGCCACCTCAACCCTACGCCAGCGCCTGCCCTCGACAACCGAGGTTGAATAAAAACAAAAATTAACGGGGCGATTTGAAAAGAGCATCTTACCCACAGCATTTTTTTTTTTTTTTTTTTTTTTTTTTTTTTTTTTTTTTAGGGGGGGCGAGGTTTTTGTGTGTGCGGCTATCTGAGCGCAACCTTCATTCGGACGTCAGGCTTCGGGTTGTGACTATTCAGGCAACATAACAGATATCCATACCGATCTCTAGAATGACCAAAATGGGGACCCCGATTCTGACATTTAGATGTGTTTGCCTTGGCTATGTTTTAACATATGGTGACTCGTAACCTACGAAATGGGTGCTTCACAAAGATGTCCTTTAGATCAGTCACGACCGTAAATGATATCTGAGTATAGTGTGCTGTAATGGAAATAAAAACAACAACAACAAGAGTGCCATCTAGCTAAGACAAAATACAGGCGGACGCTTAAGACTGCTTATTTGTAGGAATGCGAAAGCATTCCTTCAAGCAGCGCGCCACGTCTTCCAATCGCACACGGTGCTCCGGCGGGGACATCACGCTCCCCCACTGCGCAGGCGCGGCGGACCCTGCCAGTTACACGGCTTACGTGACGATACATCTGCGTTGCTGTGCTTCTCTCTGTGTTTTATTTCTGAGGCCCGTCTGCTTTGAGCTTGAGCGCCCCACGCTTCCGTGTCGAAGCATCTACGTTGCAGTGCTTTTGGCCCCTCAATGGGAATTTAAAGGGATTATCCGGTCAAATTTTGTAGTCGAGAAAACAATTGAATATCATAGCTATTGCCTCGAGACCCATCGTACGTGCAATATCTGAATTTTATATGCCCGTCTGCGATCGGTGGCCGTCGCAGTTGTGCTGGTTGTGTTTGCGTGAGACGGCATACGTTCGCTCGAAGCTTATGGCTGTCTGCGAGTAATTTCCTGATAATCCCGTGACGTTTTTTGCACATGTTTGGGAACTGCATTAAAAGAACCGTATTTTAGTAGGGTACAGCCTTGGAGACTATATAATTCGAAACAAAATACAAGACATCCATCGACCAACGCTTGTTATCCCGACCATCCGACAAACCTTTGCGTTTTGTGACGTCACGCAGCACCTGCGGATGTCAGCCATTGACACTGGCGAAATTCGGGGTGCAGTTTCGTAGATAGGCTCATGAAAGGTTTAATTAATAAAGGGAGATCATATATCAAAATAAAAATGATGTTTGTCTACATGAAGGCTCCCTCGACGTAACGAGCGCAAGAACTTAAGTGCTTCCGGTTTCGACTGGACAATCCCTTTAACTGCCGTTTCAGTGCTACAGACGGTTACAGACAACGCCGGCTTCGCTCCATGGAACAATTAAAGGGATACTTCAACGAAATTTAAAATATACCCATCGTGTTCAAAAATAGCTTGAAATATGATCCTCAATATCCGTAAATGACAATCGCACTTTTGTATTTTGGGCCTGGTGGCAGTATTTTTTGTTACAAACGGTCCACTCTGGCAAGCGCTCCGAGAACAGCCAGCAGAGAGCAAGTGACATCAAACGCAATCGTGACGTCTCGGGACGAGCAAAGCTACGGCGAAGCTGACTTTGTGAGGGTGGCCTAGTCGTTCCAGCCACCGAAGCGGCTGCTTCTGTACGAATTTTGAGTGACAGGTTAATCTTCTATAATCTTGTAGAGGGACAGTAGCGACTTTTGGTACACACAAAAGGGATTCTCGGGAAGAGGGCAGTTCCTCCTTCCCCTCTTCTCTCGTCGTGGCCGGAGGCGAGACAGTTACCGTCACTACCTCTCAAGGTTCCTAGACGAGCATTACAAACGAGGCGTTAGCGACAGCCACCAGGTGCTCTTTGCTAATCGTTTAATTCGTTTTAAAATTCCTTCTCTTGACTTTCTTAACAAGATGTTGGTGTGCTTCTTTGCTCCTTTGATGCTCCTTTGAACACACATAGACCGAAAAATCAGCGCCGATTACGAGGCATGAACATGGGCTAGTTGGAGCATTATTAAATCTTGAAAACAGCGCAAAATACACGACGGACAAGAGCGAGAAGTGAACAAACCCAACGCTGACTGGCAACTGAAGTTTATTCCTGCAAGGAACAGAATGGAAGACATAAAAAAAAGCAAAATAAAGATAATCAACCCCCTTGAGGCACGCCTGCAAACATTTAAACAAAACACAAAAAGAAACAAGATAGATAAAATATAATCAACCCCCTTCAGGCACGCCTGCAAACATTTAAACAAACAAATGTTTAAATGTTTCCAGGCGTGCATGAGGGGGTTGATTATCTTTTTATCTATCTTGCCTCTTTGTTTTCCTTTCTGTTCCTTGCAGGAATAAACTTCAGCTGCCAGTCAGCGTTGTGTTCGTTCACTTCTCGTGCTTGTCCTTCGTGTTTTTTCCGCTGTTTTCAAAGGTTTATTTCTTGTAAAGCACACAATAACAGCCAAAGTTCAAGGCACGCTGGCATCATGCGTGGCAACGCTTAGCTGCGACGAGAGTAGGATATGTCTACATTTAGTTCTTGTGCTGAGGCGATCCTCATGGTCGGTCGCAGCTGTTCAAATCAGCCGTCCTTGACCGGAGGACTGACTTGTTCACCTTCAGCAAGAGGTGTTCGCATAAGTATACGCCCTCAAACATGGCGATGACAGCCGCTTGTTGACGCAGCGTCGGAAAGCTTGCTTCGCCCGGAACCTTGTAAAATTCTGGATCTCCCACGTCCTTAAACTTCTGCCTCAGGATGGTGTTTGCCTGCAGCTCTAGAAGTTTCATCTGCAGCTCCGGCGCGATGTCGTCCACCCGCACCGCAAAAAGCAAAGAGAAAACCTGGAACTGATCGTTGGTGAGGCGGCTGATGTTGTGGAAGCGGCCTGTGAATTCTTTGTAGAGATCACCGAGGAGGTTAGAGAGGATATTGGAAGAGTCATGTTTCATTTCATTTCCTTTATTTACCCTTAGAAGCCCTGAAGGGCATTACACAATACAGTGTGAGGTAAATTTTATGGCCAAGGTTCCAGATCAAAGCGGCCTAGTTCCGGGTTTCGACACCACGTGGCGTGTCAACCTTTAGCGGGACATGGAAGCGCGGACAACGGGCTTACTGCTACTACAGTGAACTGTACTCTCCTATGCATCTTTCCGGCCTCCCATTCTTTTTCTGTTTTAGTGCGGCTGCCGCCGTTTGCGAGCAAATGCTGCGTAATCCGTCACAGACAGATAAGCGGGGAAAGGAGGGGGGGGGGGGGGGGTTAGGGGGGGATTGTTCGCCGGCGAGGCTTGCTTGTTTACAGTTGGTCCTGGTTTAACTTTATACCAAGCTACATTTATAACGATGAAGGTGCTGATATTCTACTTTTGCTATTTGATATTCTACATAAAAAAAAAACATGTTTATTTTATTTACGTAATTCAGCCGTATATGGTATGGATATTGTGCAATGACTATTTTACGCTGCTTTATTTATTTCTTCTATGTGTTTATTGAATATTACAAAAACCCCGAGACTGCAGGAACGACACACACACACTACAAGGTATCTCTTTTTTTTTGGAACTCATGTTTGGATGATGGATGGATGGATGAATCCGGCTGAGCCCTTTGGATCGGGCGGTATTACGCCACCTAGCTATTTTGTTTTACCATTCGAGCTTAGAATATTTAAACGTGAAAGCTATATTCACTCCGCACTGAAAAGAAAGTGAGGCTATAAAAACCCCTTTCCATCAGTTAATAAGAAAATAACTAGTTTTCTCTCGCTTTCTGCCAGCATTCACTTAATCTTTGCCTGGTAATCTATACTGTCTTAAAATCCACCCTTCCATCGCTGTCTCTAAAACCCAATGACTTTATTAAATCTATGTTGCCTTCGGTAGGCATAGGGTGAAGCCCTTTACAGTAGAGTATCAAGTGCTCAGCCGTCTCGTCCTCTTCTCCATAAGCAGTGCACACTGTATCCATTTCCTGGTACTTCGCTCTGTATGTTCTGGTTCGCAGAACACCCGTCTTCGCTTCAAACAACAATGAGCTTCCCCTAGGGGTCCGTATCACAAGAGCGAATGACATTTTAGCGAACGGCGACATTTGAGCGAATGGACGTTTTAGCGAATAACGGGGGCGCGCGTTAACCCATCCGTCGCGCTGCGCTTTACGCCGCTTCGCCGGCGACAGTCTGCGGCAGCTCATTACAGAAATATGAACTCACTTGGCCCACCGGAAAACGCCACTTTGCGGCGTCCGACTATTCGCTAAAGTGTCGTTCGGTGAAACGTGGGTGTTCGCTAAAACGTCATTCGATCAATTGAGTGCCTCCCCTTCCCCTAGAATTGTCATAAATGCTTTCTTTGGCAATAACTGTTTTGTTTAATTTATATAGCTTTCCAGAGTTGTCTTTGTCTGCCTTCCATCTAGCCACCAATCTCTTTCTGTGGCCTTAACTTTCTTCTTAACTGAGACCTGCTCTTCCGTAACTGCGCTGCCTCCACCTCGTGTCTATACTCCTTTCGTGCCCATTGCTGCCCATCCATCCGCCTCAACCGATCCTCAAATTCTATCTTGCTCACA